TTTTTAGGAATGAATAATTGATTTTACAAAAGTAACGTTATGATTTTCAGAAAGTAGATTTGATTAGACGGGCTAGAGTTGGAGCTGGTCTATTGGAGTTGGAGCTGGTCTATTGGAGTTGGAGCTGGTCTATTGGAGTTGGAGCTGGTCTATTGGAGTTGGAGCTGGTCTATTGGAGTTGGAGCTGGTCTATTGGAGTTGGAGCTGGTCTATTGGAGTTGGAGCTGGTCTATTGGAGTTGGAGCTGGTCTATTGGAGTTGGAGCTGGTCTATTGGAGTTGGAGCTGGTCTATTGGAGTTGGAGCTGGTCTATTGGAGTTGGAGCTGGTCTATTGGAGTTGGAGCTGGTCTATTGGAGTTGGAGCTGGTCTATTGGAGTTGGAGCTGGTCTATTGGAGTTGGAGCTGGTCTATTGGAGTTGGAGCTGGTCTATTGGAGTTGGAGCTGGTCTATTGGAGTTGGAGCTGGTCTATTGGAGTTGGAGCTGGTCTATTGGAGTTGGAGCTATTGGAGTTGGAGCTGGTCTATTGGAGTTGGAGCTGGTCTATTGGAGTTGGAGCTGGTCTATTGGAGTTGGAGCTGGTCTATTGGAGTTGGAGCTGGTCTATTGGAGTTGGAGCTGGTCTATTGGAGTTGGAGCTATTGGAGTTGGAGCTGGTCTATTGGAGTTGAAGCTATTGGAGTTGGAGCTGATCTATTGGAGTTGGAGCTGGCCTATTGGAGTTGGAGCTGATCTTGACTAGATGACTAGGTTTGACTTCTTTTAGAAAGTAGAATTGACTAGGGGAGCTAGATAACTAGATGGCTAGATAACTAGATGACTAGATTTGACGAACATAAAAAACGGTTAGCCATCTAGTTTTCAATTTTTTCGCATTTCAAGTTGCCCATTTTCACTTTTTTCTGAGTTTTTTTCAATTTTTGATCGAGATTGATGCCTAAAAACTCGTTTTATCGAAAATTTTTGCACTAAAATGCAAAAATCTCGAGCCATTTGAATTTTTTCAAAAAACTGTTTAGACAATTTTGTAGCCTGAAATCTTTAAAGAATATAATTCTTTTGTCGGAAATTGATTGGGAGTAGCCTCGAGGAGGTCGGGTCGTTAGACTGAAAGTCACGAAATCCTGGCGACGCCTTTGGGTCAGGCGTGGTCGTGGTTCATTAGCAAAGCTCCCGACTACGGGTCCAAAGCAGGCTGGTTCGATTCTCGGTCGATTTCGGTCGATTTCTTTCGATTTTTTTAATCTGGCACGTTTTGTAGGCTCCTAATTAAAGATTTTATAAACAAATCATTATTTTCATTTGTTTTTTTGATTTCCTTAATAATTAATAATGGTTATTATGTTTTGTCTAGTTGAAAATTTGGGTTTAATCAAAGAAATCTAATCAAAAGATTGCAGCTGTGAAGAGCTCTTGTTTAGAATCATGTAGGGATTTCCTTTTCACGAGATTTTCACGATCATATTCAAGAATGTTTTAGACAAAAATTTCCAGGACCAGACTCCGCTGGATCGAGTTAGAATCGAGTCACTGATCTCACAGTCATTGTCATCGTTGTGGCACATCTTGATCTTGTTGAAAGAATCGAGTTTTCCTGTTATTTGTAATCCGCAACTGGCTCAAGTCTCAAGTTTAAGGCTTGAGATAAGGAACCAAATTTAGAGAGATAAGGAACCAAAGCTAGAGAGATAAGGAACCAACTTTAGAGAGAGAATGAACTCAAGTCTCAAGTTTAAGACTTGAGACTTGAGCCAGACATTCCTCAGTCTTCAGCAAAACAAAGTTGTGACGTCGACCAGCTCCAAGTCCAATAGATCAGCTCCAACTCCAATAGACCAGCTCCAACTCCAATAGATCAGCTCAAACTGAAGCTAGAAATGTTTTTGCGAACATTGCTTTTACTAGTTCTTTGACTAGTTCTAGTTCTTCTTTGACAGACTTTTGGCATCTTTATCTATTCAATTTTTGAGATTACAAGAATTTTATTGAACTTTATTGAAGAGTTGAAATTGATTGAAGAATTAAAAATGGAAGAATTTAAACAGTTACCTCCTTACTTTCATGTTTCCAATAGTAAACGTTTCAAAATTTCTCCCTTTTCTCTTTCCCCTAAAGCTACCGTAATCAATTATTCCTTTTAGAACCCCACTGAAAACTAGAGACTACAATATCTGAGATAAATTGACTTGAACTTGAAACTCTTTTTGGTTTTCTTAATCTATTAATCTATAATCTTGTTTCCACTGCAACTTTTTCTATAATGCCCGAAGCGGGCTCGGCTTCTCTCCAAATGTGGCGATTGCCAAGTCAGCGAAAAACTTTTGTCGCAATCGGAGTCGGCGTTGGTTTCTTGTTGTTGACATGGTGGATAAAGAGGTCAGAGAATTGTTTCAAGAGAAAATTTGATGAAGTTTGGTGAAGGAGTTTCTTTTCGTAGCTACAGCTTTCTTTACGAGCTACAAACAACCGGAAATTATAGAAACTCTATTTCCTTAACGAATCGAAATTTTAGATTGTTCTCAAAGCCGAGAAAGTCTCTTCAATCTCTTCAATCGTCGACTCGTCAACAACAAATCCCTCAAACACCCGATCAACCGTCAATCCATGATTTCTCGAATCGTTCCGATTCACCAGCAAGTAAGTTCTGCAGTTCTGCAAGTATTGAGTTGGTGGAAAAGTCCTTTCCGGATTTTTGGGAGAGTACCTTAAATTTGTCGAATTTTGACGTTTTATAGCTCATCCTAAAGCTGAATTCAAGACGGATCGATTGGTAAAAACCGTTTTGAGATATCTCTTTTCTAAAAATTTTTACAGCTTTTACAGTAAAGGGCGGCAGAGCCAAAAAAATGGCTGTTTTCACGTTTCGTTAGTTTTCCGTGCAGAAACCTAGGCTAAAAACATGTGTTTCGTGATCAGCGTCAAAAATAACCCCTAGACACGCATTTTCAGAATCCTAGCAAAAAATTTTTGAAAAATATTGTCACCGGTGGAAGTCGAACCAGCGACCCTCAGATCAATAGCCTTTCCGCCGCTTTTCGCGTTTTTCTCGTTTTTTTTTGTTTTATCATTTTTTTGATGTTGTTAGAAGGCTTTTTTCAGGAATGACGTGCCAAGTTGAATCGGAGGAGCACCAGCGACACCTGTTTCGGGTCCATAAACGAAATCGGGTCCATAAACGTCAGTAATCTCTCGATGAGCCTGTGCGGCATTGAGTTTTCGGTTGAATGTCGCTGGTGTCTATTGCTAAGATTCTGAAAATGCGTTTCTAGGGGTTATTTTTGACGCTGATCACGAAACACATGTTTTTAGCCTAGGTTTCTGCACGGAAAACTAACGAAACGTGAAAACAGTCATTTTTTGGCTCTGCCGCCCTTTACTAAAATAGCTGTAAAAACTTTTAGAAAAGAGATATCTCAAAACGGTTTTTACCAAACGATCCGTCTTGAATTCAGCTTTAGGATGAGCTATAAAACGTCAAAATTGGACAAATTTAAGGTACTCTCCCAAAAGATCGAAAAGGACTTTTCCATCAACTCAATATTTCAGCAAGCCAAAAACCTATTTTTTTATCGGATTTTTGTCATTTCTAATACATTATAATCAATCAATTAATTGTAAGCCAAAAACTAGCCTAGATTTCATTTTATATATCTCATTTTATTCCTTGAAATTAGCTTTTAAAGTATGTCGTTTATTGAGTCGAATAGTCGTCGAAATTACCGATTTTTTTCGAATTGATTAATTCGAATATTGAGTCGTTTATTGAGTCGATCCTTTTATTAAATCCAAAAAAGAGTTTCAGCTTATCGTCTTTGGACAAAACTCTTGCACTCTCTTTGTCTTGTGAGCCGGCGCACCATCTTGTTGATAAAACAAAATGTTTCAGCTTATCGCACAGCGGCCTCTCGTCAATCTCGTCGTCGAATGGCGCCAAGTGTTTGTGGAAGTCTTCCACCAAGTGAAGCCGTTTTATTTGGAGGTAAAAGAAGGTGTATTACATTGGAAAGTTCTCGACAAAAAGTTTGTACGATCATTTCGTTTTTACGATTTACAAGATCTACATAATTAGATTACGTATTGGAATAATTAGCTCAATTTTGGTAGCATTGACTGAGCCTTGTGGTCTCAATTGATACCTGAATGGTATCAAATTGAGCTACTGAATAAAAAAAGGCTCCGATTTTTTTCTGCTACTGAAGGCTTGTTATTCCGATAGTTTTATTAGGGTAAATTCTAAAATAGATACCTAATGATTTTAATCATTAATCATTAATTTTAAACTCTTTAGGACTTGATGCTTGTCATGATATGATGAATGCTTTGCAAAAAGCAATGAATGGATTGGAGATGGTGAAAAATCGATCGGATCGAGATCGGCAAAGAGTCGATCTTTTGTCGAGTGTCGTTGATCGATTGAGGCTCCTGGAAACGGATCTTTCGAGAATCGTGCAAGATGGAGGATTTGATCATTTGAGAAGCGATGATGGTGCGGTTTTTCTTACCATAAATACTTTAATAGTGTTCGATTCTTGTAATGACGGTGCGGACTCGCACAACTCGCTCCATAACTTTCTTCTAAGTTAGTCAATCTTTATGAATTTGATGTCATTTTGTTGCTATTGTTGAGATCTACAAAATGACATTAAAATCATAAAGATTGGTTTAATGAGAAGAAAGTTATGGCAAGTTGAAAATTTGAGGAAGAAGTTGAAGAAAAGTTGCCAAATTTTCAACTTGCCATAACTTTCTTCTCATTAAACCAATCTTTATGATTTTAATGTTATTTTGTAGATCTCAACAAGTGCAACAAAATGACATCAAATTCATAAAGATTGATTTAATGAGAAGAAAGTTATGGCAAGTTGAAAATTTGGCAACTGCTTCTTCAACTTCTTCTTCTATACTTCTAAATTTAGGTGTTTCTCTGAAAAGTGGTGGATTGGTTGTGGGACAAATCGCTCGCACAGCCACTCTTTCCGTTCTTTCCGATGATTCTTTCATGTCAGCTGTTGAAGATTTTGGAGTTTCGATTGATGATGTTGAGACGGGAGCTCTTGTTTATGATTTATCGCCGGATCGACTCCACTTTTTGCAAGAAGGCGTTCGAGCGGCGAGAAATGGAGAGGTCAGTTTTATATCTACTTTTTTGTTAATCAAAACGATTGCTATTTACAATTGCATTTGCTTTACCGATAATTTGAGACTTTCATCAAATTTCAAAACATTTTTAGGTTCCTTATCGAAAAGATCGAAGCGATTTTTGTCAATGCAAAGATGAAGAGGATTTCTTAGCCAAATTGTACTGTATTCGACAAGCTTTGAATGTGAGTGGGGAAGAAGTACTTACTTTAGTACAAAAAGGTACAAAAAGGTACAAAAGGTACTTGCTTTAGTAAAAAAAGGTACAAAAAGATACTTACTTTGGTACAAAAAGGTACAAAAATACTTAATTTAGTAAAAAAAGGTACAAAAAGGTCCAATTGGCATTGAAAATCAATTTGCGTTGAAAAAAGGAAGAATTACGGACGAAGTTGTGACTCTTATGCAGCCCATTTTGGATTTTCATTAATAGAATTGGAAAGAAAGTGAAAGAATCAGCAAAAAGAAAATAGATTTCCGAGGAGGGGATTGAACCCACGACCTTTCCTTTCTGGGCAAGCTGAGAATCCAGAGCTCTAACCACTGAGCCATCCGGTACCTTGTTTGGCCAAGAGAAAAGGAAAAGATAAGGGAGAAGAAGAAAGAAAGAAGGAAAAGGTTAACTCTGTCTTTCTTCTTCTCTACTTCCTTTCTTCTTCCCTGCTTCCTTTCTTCTCTTCCCCTTATCTTTCCTTCTTTCCTTCTTCTTCCCATTATCTTTCCTTCTTTCTCTTGACAAATTAAGGTATCGGATAGCTCAGTGGTTAAAACAATAGCCAAGCAAAAGAAGCAACAAAGCAAAAGAAGGTTGAGGGTTCAATCCCTTAGTTAACTCTCTCTAGAGTAAGGGGATCAAGTGTCTACTGGTGTAATGGTTAGCACAGTTGCCCGGTAAGCCAAAGATCGGCCCCAGCAGCGATCGGTTTTCAATAGATCGGTCCTAGCAGCGATCGGTTTTCAATAGATCGGTTCGAGTCCCAGCAGCGCACAAGTTTTTAATCTTTCCTAATTCCAACTAAAACATTCCCACTTTCAACAATGGATATTCTAGAGCTTAAGTGAAATACTTGTTTAAATACAAATTCCATTATTTCAGGCAATTTGTGTTGACGAGCATCGACGAGTTTGGCTGTCGAACTCAGGCCGACAACTATTAGGCCATTTAATGCAAAATATGCAACAAGATCCAACTTCTTTCTATAAAGCATATGATGAAATGATTCTTTTCTTTGAAGATGAAGATAATCTTGATATGGCTGAAGCTGAGCTCAAATTGAGAGGGGTGAGTTGCGAGGAGAAGGTTTAGACTTTGAGAAATGAGGATTTTTCGATGAGAAGCTTTCAATCAGAAGCTCTCAATGAGAAGCTTTCAATCAGAAGCTTTCAATCAGAAGCTTTCAATGAGAAGCTTTCAATCAGAAGCTCTCAATGAGAAGCTCTCAGTCAGAAGCTTTCAATCAGAAGCTTTCAATGAAAAGCTTTCAATGAGAAGCTTTCAATGAGAAGCTTTCAATCAGAAGCTCTCAATGAGAAGCTTTCAATCAGAAGCTTTCAATCAAAAGCTTTCAATCAGAAGCAAATCCAGAATCCAGCAAATCCAGCAAATTCATATTGCTACTCAAGGCTTAAACTTTCTATAACTTTCCACTTCTAGGTACCCGAGTTGTCCTTTTGGGATATCGTTCTCGATTTCATCCTTCTCGACTCATTCGACGATCTTAAAGCACCGCCATCAGCCATTTATTCAGTCACAAAGAATTATTGGCTATCTCAATCGATGAAATATTCAACAATCTCCACCGTCATTTGGAGTATGTTGAAAGCGAAGAGACAACGATTACAGGTAATTCGACGATAGACATGGGAAAATTTCCAAGCCAAACGCAATTCCGCCTTTCGTTTTCTCGCTTGTTTCTTGGTCGATTACTTTCAAAATTTTGTCTACAAGTTGAAAATGTCGACTTCTATCTGTAGGCAAAATTTCAGAGCAATCGGCTAGGAATCGGTCGAGAAAACGAAGGTGGAATTAGGTTCGAGTTAGAATTTTCCTATGTTTAGTTGACGAACAAGGGTTAAAATCTTTCCTAAAAGATGCTCACTTGAAAAAGTGTTTGAAAATAGATTTCATTCGAAGAAACGGTCGAAATCGCATGATGATCAGATCGTTTTTGAATTTCTTTTTATGAAAAAACTTTAAAAGAAAGCTTTTCAGAAACTTTCAAAAGCAATTCTCAAGAGAAATGATTGGGTTATTTGATGAAAAAGACCGTAATTTGTTTGGTAGCTTGAGGCTTATTTCATTTTCAACTTGAGACTTATTCAATTCGATTTGAAAATAAATGAAATGAAAATAAATGAAAATTGGAAACACTTAGCACTCAGCGTAATATTTGATTAAGAAAAAGAAATATTGGGTTGATGCATAATTATCCGGACTTCTTTTATAAATGATTTTATTTAACAAAAAATAACATAAATAGTTAGAAAAATATGTTTAATTGATTATTCTGGAGCATATTCACCGCCTACATCAATAACTGATTGCCATTTGCTTGGAAGACGATCGATTCCACGAGCGAAGAATAAACGATCTTTGGAGGCAATCCACGCTTTAACATCGTCTATCAAGTCATCCAAATCGTTGTAGATCTTATTTGTTTGCCAATTTTTGAGCGATCGATTGACGTGGTAGTCGATTGACGGTGGTAGTCCGTTGGGGCTTCTCCAGTTCTTTGAGATCGCGAAACGACTCTGCGGCAGACCATCCCTTTTCGAAGTGGTAGAGCATGATATGGCGAAGATGGATATGATTGTCGACACGCATTTTGTTCACTAAAGAATAACGAATATTTTAAAAAAAAGAAATAGACAAAAAGCTTTCAAAACAAAAAAGATACAAGCACGCAAAAAGAAGTCCGGATAATTATGCATCAACCCAATAGATTCGTAGAAAAATCTAAACTTAAAGAAACTTAAAGCAATTTTTAGTATCCAAACGGTTTCATCGCTCATTTCTACAACATTTCCGAGGCTGTTTCCCCGTCGATAACCCTCGGATTCTTGGGCACCGATCAAGCGCTTGGCGAGCTGTGTCACTACTTTAAAGAACAGGTGAACACTTAGCAACACAAGAAAAATGTTTCATCACAATCCTACAGTATACTCTATTCTAGAGTTCTTCATTTTTCGTCTATTTTCCGTCATTTTCCTTCATTTTTCGTCATTTTCCGTCATTTTCCGTCATTTCCAATAGTTTTACAACAGAAAAACGAGCTTTGACTACTTTAACAGCAATTTTTCAAAGAGTTTTTTAGTCAGACGAAAATATAGAGCTTGAAAAGTAGCAAGAAAGCAAGAAAGCTGTAGCAAGAAACCCTGAAAAAGTAGTCATTGAAGTGGTGAAATCTCAAGATCTCATCTCAAATCTCATCTCAAGATCTCATCTCAAGATCTCATCTCTAATCGCATCTCAAGCTCTCATCTCTAATCTCATCTCAAGCTCTCATCTCAAGATCTCATCTCTAATCTCATCTCTAATCTCATCTCAAGCTCTCATCTCAATCTCATCTCAAGCTCTCATCTCAAGATCCATCTCTAATCTCATCTCAACTCACTCAGCTCCATCTCAAGATCTCATCTCTAATCTCATCCTAATCCCTCAGCTCTCACTCAAGATCTCATCTCTAATCCATCCAAGCTCCATCCAAGATCTCATCTCTAATCCACTCTAATCTCATCTCAAGCTCCATCTCTAATCTCATCTCAAGCTCATCTCAAGATCTCATCTCTAATCTCATCTCTAATCCATCTCAAGCTCTCATCTCAAGATCTCATCTCTAATCTCATCTCAAGCCTCATCTCAAGATCTCATCTCTAACCTCTCAAGCCTCATCTCAAGATCTCATCTCTAATCTCATCTCTAATCTCATCTCAAGCTCTCATCTCAAGATCTCATCTCAAGATCTCATCTCTAATCTCATCTCTAATCTCATCTCAAGCTCTCATCTCAAGCTCTCATCTCAAGATCTCATCTCTAATCTCATCTCTAATCTCATCTCAAGCTCTCATCTCAAGCTCTCATCTCAAGCTCTCAAAGCTCATCAAATCTTTTTAGGTGATTCAATTGGTCATCGATTTGTTCAACCCGAAGCGAGTCCGGTACACGAATTTAGAGGAAATGGTTGAAGATGTCTGGGTCGTACTCCAAACGAGAACCGAATCTCTTTTGACGAGACTTTCCTCAGAAATCTTACCCGCCTAGGAATGGGAAAAAGAGAGAATTAGAGAAATTTTGATTATTATTAGAGAATTTTTTGAATTTAGCAAAGGTTTTCGTTTTTTCTTAAACAAGCATTGCTCTTTTTGTGCTTCAATGCGTCCTGTGCTCTATTTGTATTCAGTAATTCAGTGCAAGGCTAGGTTATTCTACGTTATTCTATTAGGATTCTCTCTAATAGTAGTGCACCCTGAGCGTCGCCTAGATCCCTCGAAATCTCGAGAACCGCTTATCAGAACCTATCGATGTGGGGTCGGAAAATGTAGCTGACGATGAGATCTAGAGGGGGATTAGGGTGTTGAGCTTCTGGGAAAGCTTGGGAACTGTAAAATGGTCACAAACTCGGCTCGCCTGGGTGCACTACTATTAGAGAAAATACGGCATTCTATTTTCTATTATCAATTCTTCTTCAAAAACTGGTCCCAATCAAATCTCATCGATCTCCATTTAACTCACACAATTCTGTCAAAATTGCACAACATTTTCCCTTTAACGGGTATTTTGTAGTGCGTGCAGATAAAATTTTCAGACAGTCTGCCTAGCTCTTCGATTTTTTTACTACCCAAAGCTCCTTCAAGCATGAAAACCAGTTCCCCCGGCAAGCCCTTATTTTAAGCTTCATTTTGATACTAAACATGGCTAGATTCTATTTTGTCATTCTTTAGATTTCGATCATTTTAGATAAAAAATTTTCTGAGCTTGTTAAGCTTATCGAATCCGGCGAAAGATTGATCGAAATCTAAAGAATGACAAAACAGAATCTAGCTATGTTTAGTATCAAAATGAAGCTTAAAATAAGGGCTTGCGGGGGAACGAGGTTTCATGCTTGAATGAGCTTTGGGTCGTAGAAAATCGAAGAGCTAATCGAAGAGCTAGGCAGACCGTCTGAAAATTTTGCTCAGACTCGTTAGGCAGTAAAGGCAGATATTGAAATTGCTAAAAATTTGTTTTTTTTATTGTATAAAACCATATAATTATGGCCATTAATAGAATAAATATCGTTTTTTCACAAAAGAAACGCCTCTCAGGGGAAAATTGATCACAAAAAATATTGGGGCAAAAATTGATCACAAAAATGGAAAGCAGCAAATGGGAAATACACGCAAAATGAGCACAGGAAATGTTTTCTTTTGAAATTAACCTTAAAAACATTAAACATTCAAGTAAAACCTTATTTTTAAAACGATCACAAGGCACTGATGTAATTGTTTAAATTCAAATTCAAATTCAAATTCAAATTGATCACAAAAGTCTCGCGAGAGCAATGCTGATGATCACCCAGAAGAATGAGAGAGTTGTCGAGGTTCTCTGGAAAAAAAAGCTTAATAGTTTAAACTTTGATTTAAGATCTTTCATCATTAGTCAGCTATTTTCATCTTTCAAGAAGGAGCTCTTCAATCTACTGATGGATACTCACAAACGACTAGGACACGTTGAACGCGATATTATGTGGAAGGAACCTCGTGACTATCATGGAATATCATAGAATATCAAAGGAGATTATTGAAATTTTTGTCAAGATTTGTGATGAATGCGAGCTGAAGAAGGGTATACCCAAGAAAGGAGAGACCACGAAACTTTTAAGAGACCCCGGAACTTTGAAGAGACCAGGGAACTTTGAAGAGACCATGGAACTTTTAAGAGACCATGGAACTTTTAAGAGACCACGGAACTTTTAAGAGACCACGGAACTTTTAAGAGACCATGGAACTTTTAAGAGACCATAGAACTTTGAAGAGACCAGGGAACTTTGAAGAGACCAGGGAACTTTTAAGAGACCATGGAACTTTTAAGAGACCATAGAACTTTGAAGAGACCACGGAACTTTGAAGAGACCACTATTCAGGGAAAGAGTCAAATTTTATGTTTAAAATTTGTTTGTTCTTTAAAAGCGATCTTGTTGCTCATCTTTCTCTTACCGTTGTCATCATTTTTGTCGTCACAGTTGTTGTGGTGAGATTTTGTTTTGGCGGTTCGGCGGTCGTCGTCTCGGATGGGACCAAACCGACGCCAATTGGCTGAAAATTGAGAAAAGATAATGGGTATTGGGGTATTTTTGAATGAAAAATGAACGCTGTACTTTATTTCTTCAACATCCTAGTTGGGCAATTTCACTTTTACCTCTCCATTTTCATCCATAAAACCACTTTTCCTTGGATCGGTCGCCACACAAGACACAGTGTTATCGAATTTTAACGTGAAAAGGCCATCATTGCAGATACATTCCTAGAATTTAGATATATATAGATAGATTTCTTTCTTTCTTTCTTTCTATTAAGCTATCAAATATCTATTGTAATATCTTTATTAGTAGCTTCCCCGTACAGTCACGTAGTCGCAAAAAATTTTTACTAAATCACTTTTTTTCTAAGCGCTCTAATTTCATGTTTGGTATTTTTGTTTGGTATCTTTTTGGTATCAAAAAATAGCCCTGAATCTCAGCTTTCATTTAATACAGAAACGCACGCTGTAGCTTAAACGGGTGGCGAGAAAAATACGTTTAAAGTTAGACTACGCCATGCTCCGCACCGTCTTTTTAGGAAGGCGCTACTATTAGGGAAATTATGGTAATATCTTTCTAATTCACAAGATTATTAGACAAGTTCTTCATTAGACAAGCTCTTCATTAGACAAGCATGTCATTAGACAAGCATTTCATTAGACAAGGCTTTCAGTAGACAAGATCTTCATTAGACAAGGTTTTTTATTAGTTTCTAAGGTTCACAAGTTATGAACCTTTCCATCACAATGCGAATCAAGAAGACACTCCTCTCCATTTGTGCAATCACCGCCTAAAAGTTTTAAGATTAAATTGGATTTCGGAATCTAGTACTAAAAGGATCTTTTCAATTAGTTTAGTTAATAAAATGATCAAGAAAACAGTTAAAATCGAATCAAGAAGACACTCCTCTCCATTTGTGGAGAGGAGTGTCTTGATTTTAATCAATAAAATAAACCTGGGAAAGCGACTCGATCTTGACTCAAAATGCCGGAAGAGATTTTCCCATTAGACATCATCTCTGGGATCTCGTCACTGAAAAATCGATTGTAGATGGATTGTAGATGGATTGTAAATGGATTGTAGATAGATTGTAGATTGATTTTGATCATTTGAATAAACCCTTTCATAGTTTTATTTTAGAATAATCCTTTTAAATCATCTTTTTATTGGGACACATGCTAAAGTAGACAAGCTAGATCAGGTTTGGTGCTCAAAAGTACGGCCTCAATCTACTTTTTACTATAGTAATCTAGAAGTAGAATCTTTTGAACGTTTACAAGGATCATTCATTCAAGGTTTACAAGGATTAATGACAAGCCAGACAGCTAATGACAAGCTAGACAGCTAATGACAAGCCAGACAGCTAATGACAAGCTAGACAGCTAATGACAAGCTAGACAGCTAATGACAAGCCAGACAGCCAGGTGCTCAAAAAAGTACGATACTTTAGCCGTTACACCTCTCCAATCTACTTTTTACTATAGTAATCTTCTAGAACATCGCTAAGCTGTTATTATTCTTAATCTCTTACTTATTAAATCTCGTCCCTTCTCCGTCCCATCCAATATAAACTTGACTGATTTCATTCGCATTCTCCAACCATCCAATCAACGGTTTGTAGTATTCGAGGAGAGGAGTCGCGTCAAGTTCGGCTCAAATTTTTGAATGATTTAAATCGATCAGTGTTACAGCAAAGCAACTAAACAGCAAAGGAGCTAAATAAACCTTTGCCCGTCAACATCTCGAGTGCTTTCAACCAATCAATCGACGATCCCATTTCCATCATTTCTCTTAATCTCATTGTCGTGTCCTCTGAGAGAATACAGCCCTCAGCCTGAAAGGATTTTGAAATAAAGAAATTGAATCTAAAGAATCTTGAGAGAAATTGAAATTTAGCTCATTTTTTTCACTTCAATTCCAATCAAATCCAATGGAAATAACAATTTTTTGGAAATTTGCATATATAGATCAAAAGCGTGCCTTAAATCTCAGGTTTAAATAGGCTTAAATACTAAAATTTTCTCTCTTTTCGTACCCTAGAAGTTATAGAATCGACTAAGGTGATAAAAATGCAAGAATTAGCTGTCAAACAAAAACAAGACAAAAAAAAAAGCGAAATATTTGACACAAAAGTTTTCAACATCTGGCTTAAAACGCTTTTCTCACCGCCCAGGGAAATGAGCCCATGGCCTAGTGGATAAGGCGCTTGAATACAAAGCGGGCTCTTCGCCCTTTGCTCGGGTTCGAGTCCTGGCTCGAGTCCTCTACTTTTTCGATTTTAACGAAACTAATATATTTTGTCGAAGTCTTCAACATCTTGCTTAAAAGCTTTTCTCGCTCCGATTTGAGCTGATGGCCTAGTGGATAAGGCCTTTGTATACAAAGCAAGCTTTCCGTCCTTTACTCGGGTTCGAGTCCTGGCTTTGAAAATTCTTCTAATTTTTTGATTTTAACGAAACTAGCATATTATCGAAGTTTTCAACATCCTTGCTTAAAACGCTTTTCTCACGGCCAGGGGATATGAGCTGATGGCCTAGTGGATAGCCTTATCTATGTATGCAATCTATGTATGGCTTGTATACAAAGCAAGCTTTCCGTCCTTGGCTCGGGTTCGAGTCCTGGCCTTAAGACTTTTTGCTACTTTTTTGACACCAATACTATAATCTGTTTCTTTCTATCATTCAATAAATAAAGTAAAGAAAAGCTAATAGAATAGACCAAGATCAAAGAAACTAACAAAGAATGTTGGCCTTGATGTTGGCCATAAATAGATAAGCGTCATAAAATCCATAACTTGCTATCTTTCGTCAGAAACGTCAGAAAACGCAAATGCGCAAATGCTTTCGTTTCATAAGGATTATATGAAATTTTCCAAACTTTCCAAAGATATTTTTTAAAAACTTCTGAGCGACACTTAATTTTTTTGTGCTTCTAGCATTGTTTCCTAGTTATTAACCCCGCAAAAAAACGATTTTTGGGAATAATTCTTTATCCGTTAAAGCTCACCAATTCAGTCTCAGGTGGACAAAGTGATTTCAAGATTTGGAATTGAGCCACATAGCCGATTAGATTTCGAACAGCCGGCGAGTGAACCTGAAAAGAATTTCTGGTAAGCAGATCGGCAGAGATCAGCAGAGATCAGCAAAGATCAACAGAGATCAGCAGAGATCAGCAAAGATCATCGATTTTCCTTTCCTCTAACCTGACTGATTTGCGTGTGAATGAAAGCATCGATATGTGCTGGGAGGAATTTGTCTTCTGGTGGCCGGACGCCTTCGAGAGTTTCTCTGAATCGGAGATTCATTTTCATTCATTTCAGTAGACATTTTTTTTCATGTACTTTGCACTAAAAAACACACCCTTTCTAGCACACTAAATGCCAAGAAATGTGACAAGAAAAATGAGAAATTAAGTGCCCTAGATGTGCCCTAGATATGCCCTAGATGTGCCCTAGATGTGCCCTAGAGATCAGCAGAGATCAGCAGAGATCAGCGTGCCCTAGATGTGCCCTAGATGATGTGCGTTTAAGCACTTTAGATTAAACGAGAAGAAAAGAGATGTAAAGATGGAGGTTTTGAAATCGAAATCGATTAATCGAAAATCTCACCTCAATTTCCACCATTTTTCATTCCATTGATGATCACTCGTGTTTCCCTCTAAAATCTCGTATCTCCACGTATCGGCTGTTAATGCGAACGGGATTTTCGCCACATTGTCCAAAGCTTCTCTAAAAAAAAATACTGTATTTTCTCTACTAATAGTGCACCCGGCCGAGCCGAGTTGACCACCATTTTACAGTTCCCAAGCTTTCCCAGAAGCTCAACACTCAAATCCCCCACTAGATCTCATCGTCAGCTACATTTTCCGACCCCACATCGATAGGTTCTGATAAGCGGTTCTCGAGATTTCGAGGAATTTAGGCGACGCTCAGGGTTGGAGAGAGGGAGGGGCCCTGGTTCGAGTCCGGTAGCTTGTACCCAGGCGGCGCCCAAAAAACGACAATCTGATTCAGACAAAGATTGCCTTATTTCCCTTATTGAAAGTCTTTTTTGAAAGAATTTTTACAGCAATCCCACTGATTAATCCTTATTTGTGCAAACAGTAATTTGTATTGTACTAAAAAACAATGGCGATCAGCTACCGGACTCGAATCAGGGCCCCTCCCTCTCTCCAACCCACACCTTGCCTCCTAACTCACTACCACTCGGCTACCGCTGCAACAAGCTGGCCTGGAAGACTGGCCTGTGGAAGACTGGCTTGTAAGGTCGCGGCTTGATTATCTTATGGCATTTGATAGAGTTCTATAGCTCTATAGCAGCTCTATAGCAGAAACAGGAAGCAGATTCGGAATCAGTGTGCAATTCTGCGTTGAATGATATAGGTCGCATAGCATTTGACAAAACCACAAGGCAACAAAACTTTAAACCCGTATAACTTTTGATAGAGCGCTCTATAGCAGAAACGGAAAGCAGATTCAGAATCAGCGTGAAATTCTGTGTCGAATGATCTATAAATCATTTCATTTGGCTAAGCACATCCAGTTGAGCTTCTCTTTTTAAAATAAAAGTTTAATAAACAATTTCTATTTTAGATAACTGAATATTTTATAGTCTTTATAGTTTATAATATAGTAATATTTGATAGTTCCTGACCTTTCTGATAGTAATAGTTGATAGTTTCTGACCTGTACAATCGATTGATAATCGTTGATTCTTTGACTTGAAGAGACTCGGCGCTGACGAGTTTCTGGAAGTTTTGAGCGAGTTTTTACGCGTTTTGAGCTCTTCAGATTCTTCTTACAATCTCTAGCAAAGATTTTCATAACTTTAAAGCTCTACCTGACTGTAAAGATAATTTGGATTCGAGGCTAAATGAAGGAAAACATTAGCGATCGCCTCGTTGATTGCAGGAGAAGCGGATTCTCTGAAAAAAAAAATGGATTAACTGGATTTCATTGAATGTATTGTTTATGAGATTTCGTGAAATCTATATTCTATCTAAATTCTATCTATATTCTATCTATATGTCGTAGCCGATTATGAATGAAATTTTTTAGCAAATCTTTCTAGTAGAGCAACCCTTTAATGTATGAGGACATCTTGTAGCGAATTGACATTATATCATCTTGTAGCGAATTAAATTCTGCGTCGATTGGTACCAAATTTGTGAGTTTAGGTTAAAAATTGCCGGCACTACAACCTTTCGTTCAAAATCGGCGGGATCCCCGTAGCCGATTATGAATGAGTGGGTCTAGGAGCGTCCAACCATCAAGTATTTGGGTCTAGGAGCGTCTAGGAGCGTTCAGCCATCAAGTATTTGGGTCTAGGAGCGTCTAGGAGCGTCCAACCACCAAGTATTCAGTATCATTCAACGCAGAATCATTAATAGTTATGTTAAATTTTTTAAATTAGGAAGATTGGATAAAAAGAAAAAAAATTAGAGCAAAAAAACTGTTTGTTCAAGAGAAAACTTTGGAGCCCCATAATTTTTTTTCTTTTTATCGAATCTTTCTAATTTCAAAAATTTAACATCATTATCAATGATTCTGCGTTGAATGATACTAAATACTTGATGGTTGGACGCTCCTAAACCCACTCATTCATAATCGGCTGAAATTCATAATCGGTTACGACATATATTCTATCTATTTCAAATCACCTGAATGCCAGTGGCTGTTTCCTGTACAAAAATTGGTAGTAAACTTGAGCGAGAAGCGAATGAGCCAATTTGAAATCGGGTTCGCCAATTTGGGAACAGGCTTTCACTCTAAAAAAATGAAGAATTTAGCTCCAAAATTACGAGTTTAGCTTGGCAGAAACATAAGAAAAAGATAAAACATTAAATTTGGTACCTGAAATCTTCTCCATCTCTCATATCAAAAGCAGCAGCCGGCTCACAAAGCATATCTTTTGACCAAACTCTTTGGAAAACCGAATTCGTCCAGAAACTCTTCGGTAGTGGAGGGAAACCGACGGATTTGAAGTAGCGATAAGCCTAAAAACAATAAGTTCATTAGAATCAGAAACATCAAAATGATCAGAATGTCTTTTATTGTCTTATTTTCTTATTTTTTTAAAGCTTTCATCAGTTTCAGTTTTTTTTAGCTGAAATTAGCTGAAATTGGATATTTGATTGTGGCTCCGCTTTTGCCATTGGTAATCTAACTTTAAGCTCAAATTTCTTGGTGTTCAGTTGTCCAATTCAAATAGTTTTTAATATCATTAGATGCGCCGCGTCTTTCTCTATCGATTGATACAAAAATTATTCAAATTGAAAAGCCCAACACCAGGAAATTTGAGTTCAAAGTTGGATTGCCAATGGCAAAGGGGACGTGTCCCACAATCTTTTGATCTGATCAGAATTACATGACCAAGTTTAGAATACGCCTTGATTTACATGACCAGGTTTAGAATACGGTAACCTTTTCAAAGCGAACCTTTTAGAAAACGATTCAATTCGACGATTTATCCTAGTTAAACCATTTCCTAAAAGAGGTGCTTCGAGAAAAATTCCGTTTTCCAATTCGAAGTCAGTTAAGAAACGAATAGGAGGGATTTAATGTAGAACAAAGTAATCAATTACAGTTACAGTTACAGTTACAGTAAGGTGCTCTTTAAGCCATAAAGCTAACTTTGAGCCAAAGCTCTACGTAATTTATTAAGCTCTTGATAAAGTTTTGTTTCATAATTTCATTGCATACCTTGATGAACATTGTCTTCGACGTGTAATTCTGCATTTGCATATTTTCAATGATCTCCTCAGCTATTTGATCTTCTTCACTATTCGGTTTCGTTGATTCGTAATGGAAAGACCAATCGCCTCCTTCTGAAAATGATAAATTATTGGACTTTTCAACAGTTAGATTCCCATTGATGTGCGATTTTAAGAGACTGGCGCGCAAGCGGCGCGACGCGCTTCCTAAAGCGTGGATCACTACCGTACCTCACACGAAAATTCCCCTTTTGCCATTCTTTTCATTTTTTCTTCATTCCATGATGAAATCGAAAGCTTTCATTAGCTTTGTTTTACTTTGTTTTACTCTGTTTTACTCTGTTTTACTCTGTTTTACTCTGTTTTACTCTGTTTTACTCTGTTTTACTCTGTTTTACTTTGTTTTGCTTTGTTTTGCTTTGTTTTACTCTGATTTGCTCTGTTTTACTTTGTTTTGCTCTGTTTTGCTTTGTTTTACTTTGTTTTACTCTGATTTGCTTGTTTTACTTTGTTTTGCTTTGTTTTACTTTGTTTTACTCTGTTTTGCTCTGTTTTACTTTGTTTTACTTTACTTTGTTTTCTTTTACTTTGTTTTGCTTTGTTTTACTTTGTTTTACCTTGTTTTGCTCTGTTTTGCTTTGTTTTACTATGTTTTACTTTGTTTTACTTTGTTTTGCTTTGTTTTACTCTGGTTTGCTTTGTTTTACTCTGATTTGCTCTGTTTTACTTTGTTTTGTTTTCTTTTACTTTGTTTTACTTTGTTTTGCTCTGTTTTGCTTTGTTTTACTTTGTTTTAGAGTACTTTATTTTTCTTTATGCCGAGTCTCGTTAAATTACCTTCCCCCTTCGTAAAATCTATTATGTTTTATGTTTTTGTAACGCGTTTTTAAAGTACTCTCTCTTTCCCCTCCTCCGCCCCCTCCTTTTTATATTATTTGACCATAGTTTGTTGCTTAAAATTCTAATACGGTTTATTTTATTCATTTCGTTTTCTTTTGCTTTCTTTTCGCTTCCTTCCACTCCATTGCTTTGGATCCGTTCACAAATGCCGTATAAACTCAACTTAACCAATTCCGGCGCTATTAAGGTTAGGGGGCACTTTAATTTTCGTCAAAACAAACTATGAATAATTTGTTTTTCTTTCAAGACCTTTTTAAAGTGGCTGCAAAATTTGCAAATTGGCATTGCGCTTCCCAACTCTTTGAACCTTTTTTGTTTTCTTTCAAGTTCTTTTCTTCAAAGTTCAAACTTTAATTTTTCTATTTTCAGAAAGCAAGCATGAGGTTTGAGCAATAAACCGCCGTCATCGACGCCAAGGGTCACTTGTTAGGCAGACTGGCTCGCTTGCTGCCAAATGGCTTCTCAATAGACAAAAGGTAACTTTTTGAAAAGTTGTGGTACTGGCCTAGTTGGGCGGGGGGAGGGGACAATTTTTTCTTTAAAACTACTTTTTCTGGGCTATTTTTATGCGTAGCTTCCGAAAAACACAACGAGAGCTTGGGAAAAGGCGCTTTAAGCCGAGTTTCGGGGCTCCAAAGTGCGCGCTTCTAGTATGATGAGTGTGATGGGAGGGATACACACATAAGGAAGAGGTCTAATGATCTCTCAAAACATTTTTTGAAGCCAAAAACACTTCTTCTGGCATAATTGAACCTGCTGATTACATTTCTGATCAAATCGGAGCAAAAAAATATTTTTCCAAATTTCGATCCCACATGAATCAAAATCTCAAAAAATGTTGTTTTTTCAATTTCTTTTGCTTCTACCAGTCAATTTAAGTTAGAAAATGAATATTTAGTGGTTAAAAATGGTTTTGGCTCTAGTTTTGACCTTGAAAGTGCCCGAATAGTCGATAGGGCTCCATATAGTGAAGTACACTATAGAAGCGCGCACTTTGGAGCCCCAAAACTCGGCTTAAAACTCATTTCCCCAAGCTATCGTTGTGTTTTTCGGAATCTACACATAAAAATACCCCAGAAAAAGTGGCTTTGAAGAAGAAAAGCCTTTTAACTAAAACGCAAATCTAAATAATCTGCCACGGCGTGTTTTTCTTGTTATTTAGTCTTGGGTTTCTTGTCAAATCATTTTTGAAAAGGGTTGGTAAATCTAAAAGTTTTAGTTGCTAAATAGATTACGGTTTTAAAATTCTGATAGCAACAATTCCAACGGTTCCAATACGGGCCCAATACGGTTCCTATTTTGATCTAATACGGTTCCTACCTGTACTTCCAAACAAATGCGCTGGAATTGTTTGATCTTTCGTCAAACCGATCGGATTCTTGTAGATTCCCGAGATTTGCCGTCGAATGTAAGCGTGAAGCTGAAAAAGAGAATCTTATGCCTTTTTTAAAAACCACATTCCCTTCCCCCCCCCCAGAAAAGTAAAAATTTCGAACCTGTTTATATAGAGGCAAGATTTTCTCGTAGATTTGCTGCATTTGTTGTTTCAGATCGAATTTCGGGGGTGAGTTTTTCGTGGAAAGATCGAAGGCGCTTCTCCACATTGCCCCTCCATCAGAGAAACCGTTCAATTGGGCCGCTAAAGTGGAAAGAGTTTTAAAAGTGTTTCAGACAGGACGCGTTGCCTATGATAAAACATTTTTGAACTCAATTCGCATAGCGCATCTTATTTTTTTAGTAATTTAGATCGGTATTCAAAATAGAGCCAAATATATTCACCTAGTCGAATCAGAATCTAAGACTACAACATTTCAACCTCTCACCGGTGTTCGATAGATCAAGAATCTTCTTGTAATGAGGCTTTAAACGAGCCACATTTCTCACAAAAGCTCCCCACAAATATTTCAAGTGATCAGCATCGTTTTCCGAGTTGAAAATCGCTGAGATATCGATTTTTCTGGAAATTTGAAAGCTTTTTAATGAAACCAAACTAGTCTAATAGCTAAATATTTTATGTTCCAATATGGTTCCAATATGATTCGGATACGGTTCCAATACGGTTCCAATATGATTCCAATATGGTTGGCATGAATTTAGACAAAATATTACGATTACAGAATCCTCAAGTCAAATATTACTTCAATGTGCATGGCGCTTTCATCCCTTTCTCACAGGTCAACGTCTCAGAGATTTGTTGATTGATCTGAAAAGAAATGTTTTAGTTTTAGTAGATAATCGTGTTAATATCTGCCATAAAACAAACATGATCTTGCGCTGAAGTGAAAGCTTGATGATCTTTTTCTTTCAACGCGCTCATTCCCTCGAAAGAAACGTAATGGAGTTGTTTCTTCATCTGAAAATAGGCGAAATTCGTGATGGTCTGATTTTCGATGAATTTACAATATCCATATAAGATATTCAGTTGATATTGTGTACCTCTTCGGGCATAGCCGCCGCATCGAATTGCTTGGCTTGCATCGAGGTGGAGTGGACGAAGCGAGACATCACGTCCTGGATTTTATGTACACTTCAGTTAAATTCATATGTAAATTCTAGTTATCAGTCTTATCTAGCTAAATACTTTTAAAGCTAGCATACTGTAGTGAAATAAGGGTCCTCATTGTCAGTATCTTTGTGATTCAAACGCACACCCTCTGGCACACAAATAAACTTAATGTGCCGTTGAAAAGGTGCGTTTATTCGGGCACAAAGCCTCTCCTTTTAAGCCGATTTTTTTGCAAAACAAATCGTTCATCGGTGGCTGAATTGAGTTGAGTGCTTGTAGCTAGCAAGCTAGGGGATGAGAGTTCGAACCCGATCCCGTATCATTTTTTTGCTTTTTTCCATTCTACGTGCTTTTTTGTTCTTTGTCAGTCCACATAAACGCTTTTCTCCTGTTTGATTGTAGTTTGTTATTCTTGTTAAACATTTAATAGCTTGTCAATGTTGATAAAGTATCGTCCACCGATGAACGGTTTGTGTTGAACAAAAAGTCGGCTTAAAACTTTTGTGCCAGTTTGGCGGTGATTACGCGCCATTTGGCCGCTAATTTTTGGAATTCATTGAAATGAGCGTAAAATTCTGCATTGAATGGTCGATATCTCATCGGAAAAGGCCGTTGGGATCCAACCTCTATCAAAGAGATAAGATAGAGACCAAATCTCTAGCAAAGAGATAAGATAGAGACCAAATCATTCTTCCCTTGTGAGTACGGTTTGTTATTTTGTCATTATCGAGTCATTATTTTAGCGATTCGTTTAGTCGCACTTTTAATCCAAAGACAAACGTCGAGGAAACGTTTAATTGTAAAGTAAAACAATTCGAATTGCTCCCTTGTTTATACCTTGTTTTCTATTTTATCTTTTACTCAATCCATCTATTTTCTATTTATCTATTTTCTTTACTATTTTCCCCGCAAACCTGAGCCTCAGCCAGTGATTTCCTTGAGTTCGACGAGATCGACGTGAAATATCGCCATCCAGCTGTTGTCACCTAATAATCTCATGATAAAAAATCCGGAAAAAAGCGGAAACCCCCTTGCTCACCTGATACAGGACTTTTTGTGCCTCTTTATAATATCCATCCAACCATTTCTCGGCTTCGTCCGAATCTTTGATCGATCCAATCGCTTTAACTCCTTTATCGCTCCAATATGGACTTGAGCCGAGCAATTTTTGCGCCTCTTTGTTCACGAATTTCGGTGCACTACCCTTTTGGTCCTAAAGAAGACGATTTGGGCGTAAGATTTCTGTTTTTCGCGGTTACTGTAGTGGATCCAGTGTTGAGGAATTTGTTGACAAGTTGCTCGATCACTTCATTGTCCACAGCGTCGGGTTTTGTCTAAAAAAATAGACAAAGTTAAGCTATTTTCGCTGTCAGCTATGATCAATAAATTTCAAATTTTCGAATTTTTATAAAACAAACACTTTCAGCTTCATTTTCTCCATAATCTTCATCGTTGATATTGTCGAATTTGATTGCCGGCTCGGGAAGAGGAGTGGGAGCCTGGGAATGGAATGAAATCAATTCTCTACCTTCAGATCTTCAGCGCGTTTAGAATTCCGTGATCATTGTCCGGTGATCACTGTCCGGTGATACAGTGATCATTGTCCGGATTAGCGCTTTAGAGGCTAGAGCTTTAGAGGTTAGAGCTTTATAGGCTAGAGCTTTAGAGGCTAGAGCTTCAATGGCTAGAGCTTTACAGACTAGAGCTTTACAGGCTAGAGCTTTAGAGGTTAGAGCTTTATAGACTAGAGCTTTAGAGGCTAGAGCTTTAGAGGCTAGAGCTTGACAGACTAGAGCTTTACAGGCTAGACCTTCAAAAACAGTTCCAACAGAATACTCATGACAGTGTAAAGACGGTGAACTTAAACCTGATCACACCTCAAAAACAGAAACACATAAACTCACAGTGATCGGTGCGATTTCGGGTCTTTGCTCAAGTGATTCATTTGGTGGTCTCACAGCCAACTCCTCTCTGAACATTGCTTCGTTTTTATCCATCGACTTCATTGGCATTCTTGTTGTCACTGTTTCTCGATGCACTTGCTCTTCTTCAGGCACCTCATATTCAACTTCTCCCTCGTCCTCTTCATTTCCTTCTTCTGATTCCTCTTTCGGTTCGGATTTCGATTTCATTTCTTTCTTCGATTCTTCTTTTGATTTGATTTGTGAGGAGATTTCCCCATCGTGAATGGAATGTCCGTGGATGTGTGAATGGGAATCGTGCTGAAAATGAACGACTTGCAGAACTCGTTTCATACTTTATATTTAATTGAGTGATTTAATGACTGAGTGATTTAATGACTGAGTGGTTTAATGACATTTAGAAGTGTGGTGCAAGCGGAATACTAACAGAATTGGCAAAAAAGGCTTAATCTTCAAGCCAAGCTAAGTCAAAGTCAAGGTTTTAGGCCAAATTCAAGGAAAGGTTGAAATTTCAGGTCAAGGAAGTCATTGACTTGGCTTGGCTTGGGTTGGCTTGGGTTGGCTTGGGTTGGCTTTGGCTTGGTTTTGGCTTAGCTTGGCTTGGCTCGGTTTTGGTTTAGCTTGGGTTGGCTTGGGTTGGCTTTGGTTGGCTTGGCTTGGCTTGGCTTGGGTTGGCTTAGCTTGGCTTGGTTTTGGCTTAGCTTGGCTTGGCTTTGGTTTGGCTTTGGCTTGACTTGGTTTGATTTGGATTGCCCTTGACTTGGCTTAGCTTGGCTTAGGCTTAGGCTTAGGCTTAGCTTAGGCTTTGGCTTTGGCTTGACTTGGCTTGATTTGGATTGGCCTTGACTTGGCTTAGCTTGGCTTAGGCTTAGGCTTAGGCTTAGGCTTAGGCTTAGGCTCAGGCTTTGGCTTGACTTGGCTTGATTTGGATTGGCTTTGACTTGGCTTGGCTTGGTTTGGTTAGGCTTTGGCCTTGGCTTGGTTTTGGCTTGGCTTGGCTTGGTTTGGCTTGGCTTTGACCTAATTTTGCTTTAACTTTGCTTTGCTTAACTTTGCTAACCTTTCACTTTAGTCTTTTTTCACCAATCCTGCATATCACACTTGTTAACTGAATAGTTTAACTAATAGAAAATCTAGAACCATTCAAGCTTATCAGTCGTCCATTTAAAACCATTTAAACTCCAAAATTTGCTATAAAATTCTGGTACAGTCAAAGCTTTAACTGATTTGAGTGTTCAATACCTAAAGAATGGTTCAGTGAGTTCAAAATTGCGATAAACTATTCTAGGTTACGATAAACGATTCTAGATTACGATAAACTATTCCTAGATTCTCTACACTCATCAATCGCGCCTTTTTGATCTAATTAATCAACTGAAAACGTTCTTTTGATGAAATACTGAACTCCTCTTGTGCATAAACCAAAAATCACTTCAAATCACTTCAAAACGTAGAGAGATTTTAAATAAATGTTGAAGAAAGTTTTAAAGTTCAAGTTCTTCACTTTTCCCAGAACCTCTTCCATTGTGTGAGTGTCGATTTGTGCGGGTGCGGGAGTGGGTTCATGACTGTCGACTTCATGACTGATTTTTGAGTGTTCAGTGGGGTTTTCTGGCTGGAAAATTGAATAACAATAGATCAATAGATCAATTGAATAACAATAGATGAACTATGGAAATATTAAGATATGGGCATGGATTTATGAAAGTTTCAAAACACTAGACGCTATAGAAATGGAGTTATGAAAGTTTAAGGACACAAAGAATACCTCTATTGGCCAATAGAGGTCAATAGAGGCCAATAGAGGCCAATAGAGGCCAATAGAGGCCAATAGAGGCCAATAGAGGCCAAAAAATACCTCTATTGGCGTCTTCTCCATTTTCCCCTCAGCTGATGGTGTTGATTGGTGCTGAAACTTGGAAGCATTTCATTTCAAAACGATTGCAAACCTCAGAACTACAAAACAAAGTCTTTCTAACACTTGTTTAATCGTTTTAAAACCCCAAAAACATTTCGTTTTAAAGCTTAAATCCGATTTTCGGGCGGGCGAGTTTTTGACGAGCTTCTAACTCGATTTTAGATAGGCTTTTGTTGATAACTTTTGATGAAACAAATACTTTCTGAAAGCTGATGTTCTAAGCTATCTAAATATTATTAAAACTCTCCGATCCGACAAGTTTAAGGTGCTTTAAAATGAGCTGAAAGTTGACCAAAAACTCGAATTTTGGAAGTAAGCTCTCGTCTGCTTGTCGTAATGACCACTAGACTATCGGGTACCTTAACCTGCCAAGAGAAGAAGGGAAAGACAGGGAGGAAGAAGGAAAGAAGGAAGAAAGAAGGAAAGAAGGAAGGAAGAAGGAAGAAAGAAGGAAAGTAGGAAGAAAGAAGGAAGAAAGAAGGAAAATCTGGGTCTAGGTCTTCAGAACCTGCTTGAAAATGACTGAAAATCACTTGAAAATCAAAACCACGTGTATTAATAAGAAGAAGTGATTGAGAACCATTAACCCATTGCCCCATTGACCTTTTACTCTCACAAGTACTGTTCTTTTCATAAGTCTTCAAAGCCAACCATATCATGAAAAGCAGCCTCTTCAGTGAACTCAAATGGCGCATCCTCTGTGTCTTCTTCAGCAGATTGTTCATCTTCTTGATCTCTCAAATTTGATGCTGGCTCCTGGAATGATAAAGTTTTAAGAATAGCAATTAGCAATTGTTCAATATCAATTATCAATTGTTTCCTCATTAGCAATTAGCAATTGTTTCCTTTTTAAACAAAAACAAAACTCACTTTTAACTTCTGACTGACAACAAGATGCACAACGAGGAAAAGGCTTAACAAAAGTTGTAACCTCATTCTGAAAAGATTGAGTTAAGATAATGAGAAAGAGAGAAGATAAAAAGGAAAACAGATTTGTTGTTGGCTTTAAGCTAATGGCTAAAGCTAATGGCTAAAGCTGATGGCTAAAGCTGTGGCTAAAGCTAATGGCTAAAGCTAATGGCTAAAGCTGATGGCTAAAGCTAATGGCTAAAGCTGATGCTTTAAGTTTAGAAAGTACCAGGTTTGACAAATTTAACAAATGACAAATTTGACAATTCTGTGACAAATTCCCTTGCTGATTTGCTCCTTTGAAAAATTGAATGTTTTAAAATTTCATTTGAATTCAAAATCTCAAATGGGTTCCGCTTTCTTAATGCTATCGCAATGAGTACAGTGAGTACAGCAATGAGTACAGTGACAAGATTACAATGAGTACAAGATTACAATGAGTACAAGATTACAATGAGTACAAGATTACAATGAGTACAAGATTACAATGAGTACAAGATTACAATGAGTACAAGATTACAATGAGTACAAGATTACAATGAGTACAAGATTACAATGAGTACAAGATTACAATGAGTACAAGATTCAAACAAACACAAGTTTCAAGTTAACAACTTTAACATTGCTTTAAAGGGAAAGATGAAAAGAGATATTGACGAGAAATATTTTGACGCCATCAATTCAAGTCAAACCAAGTCATCAATTCAATTTTTCTTTAATAAAAATGTTATTTTATGAATTGAATCGATTAATTGATCAATTGAGAATTGGATTTGTTAGTTTATAAAAAAAAAGTGAATAGAAGTGGCTGGATTCATTTCTCGATATCTATTGGGAAAGAGAGAGTCAGTTCTGGAGAAAGGCAATAGAAAAGAAAGGAAGAAAGAGAAGGAGAGAAAGAAGAAAGAAAGAAAGAAAGGAAGGAGAGAAAAGAAGGAGAGAAAGAAGGACAGAAGCAAGAAGAAAGAAGGACAGAAGAAAGAAAGAAGGACAGAAGCAAGAAGCAAGAAGGAAGGCAAGAAAGAGAAGAAAGAAAGAAAGAAAGAGAAGCCAGGGAAATTTCTGGATTTCGGAAAAACTGGAAATAACGTGTTCGTTTGAAAAAAAGAGAAAAGGAGTCAGCCTCAACTTGTCCTCAACCCTTTTTTCCCTTTTTTTCCCTTCATCTCTCGCTTCAGGCTTTCATTCTTAACCTTATTTTCATCCTTTCCGGTTATCTATCGAATTTTACAACATTCCTGACATCAATAGAACATCAATAGAAGCAAATTGAACAAATTTTAGATACAGTACTCTCTCCTGAAAGTTATCACAAATCTAAATCTCTTTTTCTTTACAATCTAGCCATAATCTAGTGAAAAGGATACATTTATTCATACGAATCAAACCCTTAACCCTACTAACTCTAAGCCCTAAACGTACAGAAGGACGTAGAGAAGAAAAAAACCCATATAGTTTCCAAAAAAACGAAAAATCTAGTCAGCGGGATCGAACCCTCGGCCTCTCGACTGAACCTCCCGACTAAGAGACAGGGCTCTTAACCACTCGGCCACAACGACCATGTCGACAGCCGCGATTATCGATGTATTTATGAGCAAAAATCAATCCATACCAAATTCTCATTTATTTTTCTGGTCTAATCTTGATCTTTTAAATGTTAGCTTTAGTAAGACAATTATCACAATACCTGTACTCTCTATTTACGGTAAGTAAAAAGTTACACAAGTAAAAAGTTAAAAATTAAACGAATACACGAATACACGAATTTACCGTATTTCTTCGAATAGACGACCGGGTAAAGAGTAGGTAAAGGTTCTGTTAGCTCATGTGGCATTTTTGATTTCATTTTCCAGCCCTATAGCACTTCATTGAAAGCTATTATGCAGAAAAGAAATTTTAAAAAGGGCTGCTACGCAGGAGTACGCGATCATACTCTTTACCCGGTCTTCTATTCGAAGAAATACGTTATTCAAGTAATTCAAGAGGAAACACATTCTAGCTTTGATTATTTCTTTTAAAACCAGCTTCATTTACTTAAATTTTACTTAAACTGGATTGAAATTGATCGAAGGGTTAATGGGGTAAGCTGTAGCGAGCTTTAAGAACAAATCAATCAAGCTATCCAGCTCTTTTTCTTGTTTTATTTTAATCATAATCATTTATCATTTATCAAACCATTTTATTTGATTTTATCATTTATTAATCTTTATTAACCATAAAATTAACGAGTTTAGCATAAAGAATGCGTTTTTATTGGGTTGGGGAGAATGAGTCGGCGCCCAACTTTAAAGAGACTTTTTGCACACATAAAGCCTTCTTTAAACATACGTTTGGTTTCATCAAAAGGATCCACTATTTCTCTACAAAATCACTTTTGAGAGATTCCACAAAGCTTTTCTTTCGTGGAGTTTATGAACTTCCAAACGCAGCTGGTTAAAATGGCAAAGAGTCCGACTCATCATTTGAACAGTTTCTTTCACATAAACCTTCTTTGGTGTTTATATAAAAAAGATAGAGCACATTCAATTACTTAAGTTGCCAAATTTGCAGGAAGATCCCACCAATGGTTTTTTCTAGATCACAGTTTGTAGTTTTTGTGAAAAAATGGCTTTTTCTTGAGCGGAGGCGCTGTTTGAATTTTCTTTTAAATGTCATTTTGTAGAGAATTATTTAACCATTCTACTCATATCAAACGCATATTATTTGACGAAGTCGAATAGAAGTTTTAGACATTTTTTTGATTTTCGGCGCCGACTCATTCTCCCCAACCCAATAATTCGGGTTTTTTTTACAATCATTTCCTTATCCTCTTCGTTTCTTTATTCGTTTTCATTGTCATCAATTTTAATCCTTCAAAAAATGGTTTACGATAAAATGAGGGGGAAAGTGAGTGCAAGTTTAAGTCATTTTTTTGAAGGATTAAGATTGATGAATAAAGATGAATAAAGAATGAATAAAGAAACGAAGAGGATAAGGAAATGTTTGGGGAAAAAGCGGAATTACAAACGCTTTCCCTATGCTGAACTCATTTTTCCATAACTTTAAACAAATTACGATACTTATCGATGGATTTAGCGTCTTTTGCTTAGCTTCTTTTGTCCAAAACATCAATAAAAATCAATCCAAATCAATCCAAATCAATAAAAATCAATGCAAATCAATTTTTCATAAAGATCAATCGCAGATCTCTTTCTCATCTTGTGCAACTCAAAGCGATTTCATAAAAGCGAGTTTTTCAGAGAGATTCAGGTCAAAAGAAAATCCGAAATAGAAAATGAAAGCGGAAAAGCGATCATCGGACGGTCATTGAACAGTCAACTAGAAATTCTTTCAACTCTTTCAACTCAACAAAGAAAACATTTGTTTAAGTGAAAATAGAGGATTTCCTTTAAAACAAACGTTTTGTGAAAGGTTTAGATTAGTTCTAGAAAAGCTGAAAAAGCTGAAAATAGTTAACGATAGTTTGTTAGGGTTTTTTTGAAGAAACAAAACGATTGTTTACATGTTTGAGATGAATATGAAAAAGAGATTTGGAGAGGATATGGGTGGATGAACGAGAATGGATGAACGAGAATGGATGAACGAGAATGGATGAACGAGAATGGATGAACGAAAAGATCGGATCATCGAGATTTTCTCTCTTTGATTAAATCTCTATTGTATTCAAGGGCATGGATTCTGAAATGTTTCTGAAAATTGAGCAAAAAAGCTTTGGAAGGGAATTGATTGAATAAGTTCAATTGCTCTTCTCAATTTTCTCAAACTTTAGATCCAAATGTTCGAAGAGAAGCAACAATTTAATGAAGTCGGCAATGAAAGAAAAGCCGTATCTTTATCTTGTACTCGTTCTTGAAGAACCGTATCTTTATCTTGTACTTGTTCTTGTACTTGTTCTTGTACTTGTTCTTGTACTTGTTCTTGTACTTGTTCTTGTACTTGTTCTTGTACTTGTTCTTGTACTTGTTCTTGTACTTGTTCTTGTACTTGTTCTTGTACAAAACGGCTTGTATAGATATAAGTAAAAGTGTGAGGGTGGAGTGTTAAAAGGCTGAGCTAAAAGTTCTCATCGGCATCATTGAGAGTGAAGAAATCAGTGTGCGGAAAACTGGATCTAGCTGAAAACAAAAAATGAGGAGCTGATGAAAGATGAGGGGAAATGAGGGAAGATGGAGGAAGAGATTGAGAAGGAAGGGAGGTAGAAGGAGGAAGGAAGGGAGGTAGAAGAGGGAAGGAAGGTAGAAGAAGGGAGGAAGGTAGAAGAAGAGAACAGTGAACAGTGGCAGATTCGATCAAAGAGAATGCGATGAGTAATCAGAAATGAAAGGAAAAGAATGGTATTTGGTGGGATTCAGGATGAGACAGTAATAATGGATTGAAGTGCACAAAGATCATCTCTAATAGATCGGGTTTTGGCTGGATTACTATTCAGTTGAACTGGATGCTCTGATCCGGAAAAGTTCCCGTCGAATGATTCGATCCAATTCGAAATCCGACAAATGGCAATCAAGCTTAATCTGTCTTCTACTCTAGAAGAGCCATCTGTTGTCATTTCCAGGAGCCCTATCTAGCTTCTTATTGTTTATAGACACTTTAAAATACCTAAAAATGGTTTAACAATGCTTTAACAATGCTTTAGTGCTTTAACAAGAAAGCAAAAAGTTTTCGACAGTGAGGGGATTCGAACCATCGGCAGCCAGGAGCCGGGGAGACGCGAGGCCCGAGCGCATTATCCACTACACCATCCGGTCACTTGTTTGAGTGAAGTAATTCGGCGTCATACCGGGGCGGCGGCGTTTTTCCAAGCATTTTTCAAAAGGATTTTCCTTGAAAACTGAATGCCATGGAGTAAAACTAAAAAGAGAGTGAGAGAGTCTAACAAAAAGCGCAAGGATTGCTTCATCAATCTTAATGTTTGGATGGGATGAGACGCGGATTTTGAAGCCTGAATGACTTGAAGCCTGAATGACTTGAAGCTTGAATGACTTGAAGCCTGAATGACTTGAAGCCTGCTTGACTTGAAGCCTGCTTGACTTGAAGCCTGAATGACTTGAAGCCTGCTTGACTTGAAGCCTGCTTGACTTGAAGCCTGCTTGACTTGAAGCCTGAATGACTTGAAGCCTGCTTGACTTGAAGCCTGCTTGACTTGAAGCCTGAATGACTTGAAGCCTGCTTGACTTGAAGCCTGCTTGACTTGAAGCCTGCATGACTTGAAGCCGATGACTTGAAGCCTGAATGACTTGAAGCCTGCTTGACTTGAAGCCTGAATGACTTGAAGCCTGAATGACTTGAAGTCAAAGTCAACTAATCAAAAATACGGCAGTGCTCAAAGAAATACAGCTTTTGGCATTAGATTGGCTCGGAATACGTATCAAAATTTAATATTAGGCATTTAAAATCTATACAAAAAGCTTTTGCGAAAAAAGAAGACCAATAAAGTCAAGAGTCGAAAATGGTGAACGTTATGGATTGGTTCTGAGTGAGTTGCTGAAAAGAATACGCCAATAGAAGAAGCAAAAAGAGGAATGGAAAGAGAGAGAAAGAGAAAGAGAAAGAGACAAATCCAGATTTCCGAAGCCAAACGCCATACCGTTTGTCCCTTTTCTACAGTCTGAGGGGGGATTTCTCAACCTCCACTCCTTGTTTTCACTTCTCTTTCTTTTCTTCTCTTTCTTTTCTTCTCTTTCTTTTCTTCTCTTTCTTTTCTTCTTTCTTTTCTTCTCCTCCTTTTTTTGTATAACGAGTGCCGCTCACCCGAGGCTTGTTAGCTTTCCGAAACTCTACAAAAAACATTCCACCAAAAGAAAAGTTTCTGCCATTCTCACAAATCCATTATTATAAGCTCAATTTTGAGAGATTTTTGAAAGTGTTTTGAAAGAAAAGTGTTTAGATGAGACTTTCCTAGATGCAGAGAGATTTGGACGAAAAGTTGAGAAGAAAATTTTGATTAAACTGATTTGACACAAGATGTAAAGGTACTCTGATTCAGCGGCAGTTTTGTTTTTTTGCTCAAAGCTCGTGCGCAAAAGTTTCGAATTAGATTTTTCTTGGCTTTTAATATCTGAAATGAAAAGATAGCTTAGATAGCTATTGTTAAAGTTTCTTGAAGAAGAAAGTTTGCCAAAGTTTTCTCTTCTTGAAGAAGAAAGAAAGCAAGAGAGTAAGAAGCGCTTGTTGTTTAGGCTAAAATTTTAAATCTTTCGACAAACGTCATCGACAAATGAGTAATGTTCGAAGAAATCGAAAAAAGAGCAATGTTAGGGGTGTTAGGGCAATTGTTTTCAGTAACGATTTCATTATAAGTCATTGTAAGTCATTGTAAGTCATTACAATCCATTACAAATTCATTACAATTCATTACAATTCATTACAAGACATTACAAGATCATTACAAGTCATTACAAGTCATTACAATTCATTACAAGTCACTACAAGCCATTACAAATCATTACAAGATCATTACAAGTGATTACAAGATCATTACAAGTCATTAAAAGTCATTACAAGTCATTACAATTCATTACAAGATCACTACAATTCATTGTAAGTCATTACAAGTCATTACAAGTCATTACAAATTCATTACAATTCATTACAATTCATTACAAGATCATTACAAGATCATTACAAGTCATTAAAAGTCATTACAAGTCATTACAAGTCACTACAAGCCATTACAAATCATTACAAGATCATTACAAGATCATTGTAAGTCATTACAAGTCATTACAAGTCATTACAATTCATTACAATTCATTACAAGTCATTACAAGTCACTACAAGTCACTACAAGTCATTACAATTCATTAAAATTCATTACAAGATCATTTAAGCAACAAAATTCATTATATTCATTATAAAATCCATTGTTTAAACAATAGAACACATCTCGGTAATCACCGTAAATTATCCAGAAATTAATGAGAACACGGGCGGGGCGGGCGGGAGGGAATTTTAGCGCGCGAGATGGGGGATCAGATTCGGTGAAAAGAAAACGGACAACGAGAAAGTCCCAATTTTCGGAAAGAAAAATGAAAGAAGAATTTGACAAAGGGATACATTTTGTGGATCGGTGGGGAATGGAAAGGGTAAAAGAAGATCTGATAGTATCCGATCTCTTTCCCCCATTCCCCATTGCCCATTCGCCCCAGAGAATGACCTGTTTCCCCAATTTTCTCCTTCATCATCCCCACCCTCTTTTCCCCGCCGCCGCCGGATTCTCGTTCAAGTTCAACCTGAAATTGATTCCTGCAAAAAAAAAGTGATGACAAAGCTTTCTTTGACAGCAATCTTTAACATTTCGAGAATACCACGACAATCAAATCTAACAGTTTCAAAAAACGAACCAGTTTAGACTTCATTTGTTTTACTTCACTTCACTTGTTTGTTTTCTTTGTCTTTCTTTGTCTTTCTTTCAAACTTGTCCATCAATTATCGCTCGGACTTTTGCTGAATCGATTGTCATAACTGAAAAGAAGTTTTTAAATATAGTTAAACAAAATAAGCTGGTTGTTGACAAAATCGATTGTCGGCTACCGTAGTCTTCAAGGAAATTGGCAAAACTTTAGCAAGACAAGTCTGCGATTAAAGCTTTCAAGAATGGGTTGAAACCCTATCCCTAAACTTGTAGAAAGTGGAAAGCGATCAGCGTTGAACATTGGAGCAATTTTCCGGGGATAAATCGAAAGGAAATCGCTATTCTATCGCTATTCTATAGTCGAATCATGTAAAATGACGTGTAAAGTGATTGGGATTTGAGAAAAATGGGGAGAAAAGCGAAAAGCAAAAGCCAGATTGAAGAAGTTGACGCTTAAAGGTTTTAGGGACAAGTTTCGAGTTGAAAGTTGAAATAGTTGAAAATAGTTGAAAGTTGAAATAAGTTGAAAAGAAGCATTTTATGTATAAATTTTAATTTAAATAACTTGAAATTGAATTTAAATTTGAGTTTAAATTTGAATTTGAATTTGAATTTGAATTTGAATAACCATTTCCTACTTTTAACTTCTTCAACCATTCCCCACTTCCTTTTCAACCACCTCTTTGCAACGCTGAAAATGTAGCTAATGTGCTGTAAATGCGAAAAACAAAAACAAAAAGCTGTCAGGGGAGGCCTTGATCCTGCCTGTTGGGAGCCTAAGCCATCAGCCACCCCATCAATGGCCATTCACTAGGCCATAAATGTGCCACTAGTAACGAGGCTTTTAAAGCCTTCGTTTTGACGTCAAATTTTCGATTGCCGTTTTACACGCCTGGAAAATCATTTGAGATTCCGATTACAGATCCGATTACAGATTCGGATTCCTCGGACCCAATTCTATAAAGTGTTTCCAGACGAAAGTTCACCTTGAGCTCGTGCCTTTCTCTAGTAAGTTTTGTTCGCCGTTATCATTCGATATTGTACTTATCGTTCGATATTGTACTATTGTACTTATCGCTAACTATCGATAATACTTTTAACCGTTAACTTATTGTTAAATAAATCTTTTAGCAAGTTTTTCGAATGTTGGCTGCAAAATGGAATTCAAAATGCTGCAAAATGGAATTCATAGATGAAATAGAAAGATCGTCGCTATTTCAATAGCTACTTTAGCATTTCCTTTGACAAAAATTTAGGAATTTATTGATTAAACCAAACATTAAACGTTTGGCAAACAATGCTAAATTGCTAAATTATTAAAAATTGAATTGCTTGCAAATCTCATGAAACTAGAAATGACTTTTTGAACATCGTATATGAATGAATTCATACTCGACTAAAGAACATTTATTTGACAGACATACATTTTTACGGTATCACAATGAAATTTGATCAAAACCGATAGATATTTGACAGAGCCCTATGATATGAAGGCAAGAAAGAAAAAAAAATTAGATGAAAACACAAATTCTCTATTAGAAATTCTATTAAGTTCGTGTATAAGTCTTTACAAAAAAAATTTTCAAACGTCTTTTAAAAATGATAACGTTACCAACAAAAATTTCTATTTGAACTATTAAAAAGCTTGATTGTTTCTCTGCAAAATGGCTTTTTGAAAGTTCTTGGGAGTAATTGTTTTTGTGAATTTTCAAAGGCTCAAAGGCGAGCACCCAGCTCCGATACCGAAGTCGTAATTTGGACACTTTCTTCAGTACAAACCTATTTTGAGCTAGAGTAAAAAAGATAGAGCTTATTTGATTAAATAAGTCTGTAAAATTTGCAAACAATCCGTCTAGCCATTTTCTTTAAAACAACAATTGAAAATCTCACACAAAAATGCGTTTTTATCGAGTTGAGGCGAGCTTTGAGCTTTCTCTCAAAAACCATTTTGCAGAGAAATTATAGACCTTTTTAATAGTTTAGAACACAAGAAATTTGATAAAAGATTCTTTTCTATGGAAAGAAAAATTTGAAAAAAAACAATTGTAAAGACTTATGCACTAACCTAAAATAGTGCACTCTCGAATCGGAAAATTTTACGAGCAAGTGCAAGTGCTTTTAGCAAAAGTTCCTCATGATTTACATGTTTGCCAGCATCACTTTCATTTGTTCTTCATTCGAATTCAGTTTTCCTTTAACATTTTGCAGCTGTTGCCGAGTTTCTCGAATCGAATCTTCTAATTGCGCCAACTGGGATGAGTATCTGAAATGTTCTTCTGAATTCTGCTGAATTTTATTGTTTATTGTTCAATTCGGAATTCTATTGAAAAATAGAAGTCTTAAGCCTTCTATTAGAATAATTACTATAGGTCCTTTTAGAAAACGCAGCAAAAGATTATCCGAAGTTTTGGTTTGAAAAATGCAGCCTTTTTTCCCAATCAACTAACTCACTTGTGCACTTCTCCGTGTCCTTTTGCTTCTCTTTCTTTCCATTCCAATTCATTTTTCCTTGTCTCATTCCTCCATTTCTCTAATTCTTTCATCATCGAATCCAAATCTTCCTAGAAATTGCTTTTCTTGAAGGAAATCTCTTTTAAAATCACCTGCGCAAAGTCGAATAATTTTGCAAGCGGGAAAGCGGTTTGGGTGACGCGTTGAAGGTTTTTCTGCAGATTTTCTACCTGAAATTGTTGTTTTTTTGGGTAAGTTGATCAAGAAAAAGAAAGGAAAATGTAGATTATTTTACTTGGACTGATCACTCGATCACTTTCCGCAAATCCACTGTCTTCTAAAACGTGTCAACTTTTGAAAACTGCCATAACCTTGACTTTAGATCTATTCAATGTATTTGCATTTTGTCTACTTTGTGGGATTCTTGAAAGTAAATAAAAACAGGCATGATTACGGTACCTAGCTTCCAAAAGTTAACACTTTTTAAAAAACACCATACTCGATGGGGAAAATGCTTTACTTTCAATTGAGGAAAATTTAGGTGTGCTTTAAGAAACACAAAAATATCCTAGTCTAATTACAGGGTAGCCCACAATTATAGCGCCGCACTTTAGAGGGCCTAGATTGGCGAAGATTGAATGAATCATTCTGATTTTTCTGGAGGTAAATCTTAAGTATTTCTCCTGGAACGGTGCTCATTATCTAATCGATTTAAACTTTCAATTTTTTTATATGGCCTTTTAAAGTTGAGAGCCGAGTGTCGCTCGGATTCTACTCATTTATGGGATTTTTGAGAGCGATCTTGTCAAAATCTCGTTGAGATTGAATTGATTATGTTAATGAACGAAATCTCCCATGCTTTAAGTGTTGCTAAGTGCAAAAATTCTTGAGAAATGTCACGAAAACTCATTTAATATGGTCTGTTTTCACTTGATCGATTTATGGGGCTTCAAGGAAGCCACTAAAGAACAATTAAATCTGAAATAATTGAAAATCATTAAAATCCTAAAGACTTTTTGTCAGAAAAAATGAAACTTTCAAAATTCGAAACTCGGCTCTCAACTTTGAAAGATCATATGAAACAGTTGAAAGTTTAAATCGATTAGATAATTGGCACACCTTTTCAGGAGATATACTTAAGATTTACCTTCAGAAAAATCAAAACAATTAACCCAATTTTGGCCAATCTAAGCCTTCTGAAGTGCGGTGTTATAATTGTGGGCCATCTAATCTAATCTAATCTAATCTAATCTAATCTAATCTAATCTAATCTAATCTAATCCAATCTAATCTAATCTAATCCAATCCGATCCGATCTAATCCAATCCAATCCAAACCAATCCAATCCAATCCAATCCAATCCAATCCAATCCAATCCAAATCCACACCTGATGTCTCTGTCTTGCCATTTCCCCATCATCCACATCATCACTCTCCATTTTCACTTGTCCATCCTCTAATTGTTCTCTTGTTTCCATGATTTTTGCCACCAGTCCACCGTGTTCCGCATTTGGCTGAAAAATTGCAAACATAAAACGAACTTATTTTATGAAAAAATGAATAAAACTCACATCAAACTCTTCTCTCGTCACTTCCGGTCTTGATTCTTCTTGTTCTTCGATGAGAAAATCTTCATCTTGCTGTGGGGCAGAGGTTGTTTCCGTGAAAATCTCCGACTTTGGCTCCAATACCTAAAAATTTGTTCTTTCCAAGATCACGAAAAGGTTTCAGAACTCCAGCAAATTTGAAACTCTGTCGTTACAACTAACATTTGATCAATATCTTTGAGTTACTCGCTACCCACAATTGAATAGAACACTTTAATCAGGGTTTAATACTTTCATCATTGAATACACTAAAGACTTTCATCAGAGTTGCCAAGATTTATTGTACCTGTTGTTTCTGCTCAATCTCCGCAATTTGTTTCTTCTTGAGTTTTGGTGGAGCGGCTCGAGCGGCTGCTGTGCCCGGTCGGCCCATTGATGTTTGTGGTCGACCCATACTCGTACCGATTCTGAAAATGTATAAATAGAAATAAATATAAATGAAAAGGTATAACATCATAAATATTTTAACAACTCTTTCCTAGTAAGGTTAAAATGTGAAATGAAGATGAGATTTTGGATTGAGCTATTTGTTTAGCGGGTTACACTGATTCGGAAGCGGGCTTATGCTTTGCTTATGCTTCTGCTTTGCAAATGCTCAAAATATTTTAGAAAAGTTTGGAAATGTTGGGTTGAGGAGAATGAAATGGCGCCGAAAATCAAAGAAATTTCTAAAATTTCTAGCAGACTTTGTCAAATGATACGCGTTTGATACGAGTAGAAAGGGGAAATAATTCTCTACAAAATCGTATTTAAAAAGAGGCCTCAAACAGTGCCAAACTCTGTTTAAGAGTATTAAAAAACCTGAATACGCTTCAGCTCACTCAGCCAAGCTATTGGGTTGGGGTTGGGGAGAATGAAAATAAAAGAAATTTCTAAAACTTCCATCAAACTTTGTCAAATGATACGCGTTTGATACGAGTAGAAAGGGGAAATAATTCTCTACAAAATCGCATTTAAAAAAAGGCCTCAAACAGCGCCACAACTCAACAAAAGGTTATTTTATCACTAAAATCTATAAACTGTCATCTAGAGAAAACGGTTTGAGGGATTTTCCTGAAAATTTGGCAACTTATGTAATTGAGTGCGCTCTATCTTCTTATGCAGGCACCAAAGGAGGTTTATGTGGAATAAACTGTTTAAAAAAACTGTACCTCATATGATCCCGAGCCTCAGATGGTGGCGGTCTTGGACTGATCACTCGATCACTTTCCGCAAATCCACTGTCTTCCGTTTTCGCCGTTCCCGAGGCTTCATCATCTAAAATTTGTATTCAAAATCTTGATGAAAAGGATTAAAAAGAAAACTGAACTAAAAAATACCATGAGAGTCCAGATGATGATCGATTTCAGTCTGGAAAGATGGAGATGGCTCGATTGAGGCTGCGGTGGGCATTATCGAGGTTCGTCTGGGTAATGCAGCCTAAAATTCGCATATAACTTATTCGAAAACTGTATTCTGGCTTTTAAATCAAAAAGTAATGTAAAAAAAACTTCAAATTGCACCTCATCAATCGTTTTTGTCTTCGATGATCGCTCTTTTTTCTCTCTGTCCGATTTGGAAGAGGTCTAGAAAATGAAAAATCGATTATCTGCTTATTCAATAAACCTTGCTCAACAATTGAAAACACACGCCTTCTAACGCACTTAATTCTCGTTTTTTTCGGAATTTAATGCACCCGAAAGGGTGGGTTTTCAGCGTTGAGCATAAAGGTACGCTCAAAAGAAATTTCCCACCTTTTCCCGATCTTTCTTTGACGAAGAACGATCTTTGCTCTTTTCTCGATCTTTTTCCTAAAATTTGACTATAGACAATGAAAATGACAATGAAATTTGGCCTTTAGAAAATAGATATTCATCATAAATTGCTTACAGTTAGAAAGTGTTCCTTGCGAGTAAGTAATTACTGAGGTAGGCTGATCTCCGCAATTTTTCTTTGCGCAACTGGATCCTTTGTGCAACTCGCCATAACTTTTTTCTAAGTCGACCAATCTTTATGATTTTGGTGTCATTTTGTTGCTATTGTTGAGATCTACAAAATGAAACGAACAATCATAAAGATTGGTCCACTCAGAAGAAAGTTACGGGGAGTTGCGCAAATGACCCTGTTGCGCAAATGACCCTGTTGCAAATTGCGGAAATTGCGAATTAGCCTACCCCTAATTACTCGAGAATTACTCGAAAACTTGCAAAAGTAATTTTACTCCATTAATCGACGTTTTTTGGTCGAGTAACTACGAGTAAATCCTCTTTACGCGTCGAGTAAATTGAATATCTTTACATTTGACGGGAATTTCCCACCAAATCATTTAAATGGCTGAATATCTTTAAAAAGGCATATATAACTCGTCGTTCGTGACTTTTTTTGCGCCAGTTTTTTTTGTTTATGCCTATCACTACTTCAAATCTAGCTAGCTAGCTCATTGTCAGTACTAGACTTGTAACAAAAACATCTGTCGGTCCTTTTTGCTGACAATTTAAGGTTTTTTTCTCAGCCTCAACCTATTACTTTTGACTATTTTGACTATCATTTCGATGCAGAATAAAATTGCGCGTCAAATGATACCAAAATTAACTCAAAATGTAATATCCATGCAAAGTTGTTGGATAAAAACCTAAACTCTACCGATTATAGGCGGGATTTAACCTTTAGCCTCATAACTTTGCATGGATATTGCATTTTGAGTTAATTTTGGTATCATTCGATGCGCAATTTTCTTCTGCATCGAATGATAGTCTAAATAGTCAAAAGTAAAGGGTTGAGGCTGATAAAAACATGAAAAATCTTAAATCAAAAAAGGTTTGCTGTTTCAAAAAAGGACAGATTTTTGCTTTACAAGTCTAGTAAACGCTCTAGTTATAGTACCAAAGAGGGGAAAGTTTTTACAAAGACTTGGCACCTTTATTATGATATTATAGTATGTTTCAGCTATTCTTATTCCAAGTTTCGAACAACTCTGATTACAATTACAATCCAATTAAAAATTAGCTTTTTTTTTGGCAATTCAAATTTTGTTCTCTTTTTCATACCTTATCCTTTTTCTTCTCCGAATCTCGATCTTTCGATTTTGAGTCCCGATCTTTTGATGATGTTTTTGAGTCTTTTGCTTTTGAGTCTTTTGTCTCATCTTTAACTTTATCCTAAAAGTTGTAGGGGTGAAAAGGATTCTGCAAAATTCTCGTTTCTCTTTTTCACTCACTTTGCTTTTGCTTCGTTTTTCCGGAGCTTTTCCTTTATCCGACGATGCTTTCGATGAGCTTTTCGAGGAAGTTTTTGACGATTCTCGTTCCTAAAAGTCATTTTAATAATCATTATCGATTGAAATGTCAAGATAGTGGGGCTCTTTACGCCGTTTGTTGCTAATTTAAGTGATTTTTGGTTAAAATTGAGTCATTTGTTGCTAATTCAAATGTTTTGTTGCTAATTTAAATGTTTTGTTGCTAATTTAAATGTTTTGTGGCTAATTCAAGTGATTTGTTGACATTTTTGATTGAAATGTCAAGATAGTGGGGCTCTTTAAAAATTTCAATTAGTAAATGGTCCTGATCTCTACAAATTTGATTCCTTATCTCTACAAATTTGGTCCAAAAAAATTGTTACTTTGCTCGTTGTGGACGATTTCTTCTTATTTTCTTTATTACTCGTCACCGATCCATCTCGATATTGGCGGGCTTCTTGCGCAAATTTTTGAAGTAACTAAAGACAATATTATTGCAATTTTATTAAAAGTTATTGAAAAGTTAATGAAATTCTAGAAAAATTTTGATCTGGGGTTATAAAAAGAATAAGATGACGCGTCATGACGTCATTTGTCGCAATAGGAGGCTAGCACTAGTAAGGGGGCTAGTAAGACCGGATAGAAGGCTTATCTTCTAGTCGGGGGTCAAAGGTTCGATTCTGGCGACACACGTCATGACGCCATTTGTTGCAATAGGAGGCTAGCACTAGTAAGGAGGCTAGTAAGACCGGATCTTGTCTTGTCTTCTAGTCGGGGGGTCAAAGGTTCGATTCTAGCGGCAAGAAAAATTGGCTCTTTTTCTGATCATTATAGGTTTTTTCTTAACAACATTTGGGTAATAGGGGTAAATTTATTAAATTTATTGGTAACCGGGTTGCCGTTTTGATTCTTGTACCAAATTCATGTTGAATACATGGATTTTTACATGCAGTAGACACTTTTATACAGTTTTATATCGTATACTGACCGACGTTTACTGATTTCGTCGTCTAATTTCGTCTAATATCTTGTAATTCATTATTCTGTCGAATAATACTTTTTTAAATAGAGAAAAGCTTGGAAAACTCTTTAAAAGTTGAGAGCTTGAGTTTAAAGTTATAAAGTTTAAAGTTTTAAAGTTTTAAAGTTTTAAAGTAAAGTTTTAAATTAAAGTTTTAAATTAAAGTAATGGATTTTCGTAAAGTAAAGTATTATAGTTTAAATTGGTTTTTGATATGAAATCTTGAAAGATTTATCGATGCTTTGGTGGAGGAGCTTGGTGTCATTGAATCTAATGTTTCGAGTGGTTTTTGTCGATACTTTTCTTTTATACTGGGGTAATTATATATGCTAAAGTGATTGGTGCTAGTTTTAAAGTATTTTCAACATCTTTCAAGTTAGTATAGCAGCTTTCTAAGAGATAACGCTTTGAGCTTTGATCCAAGCTTTGATCCAAGCTTTGATCCAAGCTTTGTTCCAAGCTTTGTTCCAAGCTTTGATCCAAGCTTTGATTCAAGCTTTGTTCCAAGCTTTGATCCAAGCTCTGATCCAAGCTTTGATCCAAGCTTTGGTCCAAGCTTTGTTCCAAGCTTTGAGATAACTTTCGTTTTTACAGCAGGCTAGGACACATCCAAATCATCCAATATGATTATCGAAAACGTGCTTTAATTTCACCATCACTTCAGCATATCTCTTTCTTCAGAATAGAAGAAAAGTATTGACACAAATCGCGCAAAACATTAGTCAAAACATTAGAATCGATTAAGTGAGCCAAAAGTGGCCCCTCCCAACCATCAAAGTATCGATTTATTCATTGTTAAACCTTGATCGTCTCTTCTGCTTCTTTCCCGGCCACAATTTTGCTCGCTTTCACATCATTCAACGATCCATCCGTATTCACTGCAGTGATCAATCTCTCAAGAAATCCTACTTTTGCATCTTTGTCTCCAAGTGATGATTCATCCAATGAAGAGCTGGGAAAGCTTTCCTAAAGTTTCGATAATTGCAAGAAAGCATCGGGAAGACTGAAGACTGAAGACTGAAGACTTTATCTTATTTTAAGTTCTAATGCTTAAAGAGTCTAACTAGAGTTCTAAACTTGAAATTGCTAAATTTTAAAGGCATCTAGATTAAGAGATCTCGATTTAAAGGTATCTAGATTCTGTAAAAATTGAGTTTTAAGTATGAAAGTTTAAGTACGAAAGTTTTTTTGAGATCCCATGAGACTTCGACAAATCGAATCTGTGTTTATCTTTGTAAATCGTTATCCGAAAGTTCAACTTTATTATAGTGACATGGGCCTTTTGTAGGGAGCTAGTCAGTTCTACTAGTCAGTTCTACATTTTAGCAAACAGCTCTTGTTTTCTAAAGCTTAGATCCAATGTTATTTTGAGCTTTAGAAAATAAGAGCTGTTTGCTAAAACAATGTTTGAGGGCTCCATGTGCTCAAGAATGACTGCTCGTTTTCTACGAAAGGTTCATGTATAATAGTGAACTTGTCATTTAGATTGATCTTCGAGAACGAGATTGATCTTCTAAAACTAGAACTAGAACTAGAACTAGATGAACTAAACTAGAACTAGAACTAGAACTAGAACTAGAACTAGAACTAGATGAACTAAACTAGAACTAGATCAATTTAATGATGTTCATTTTGACTCACTCTTAAATATCCTGTTTTCGAGATCGTATTCGAGAAGACATCGAGCAAGAATTTGAATGGTGGACGAGAGAGAAGTTTATCGGTGAGTGGCGGTTTATCGATGAGACCCAAATAAAGAGATCGGGTTGCCTCGAAGTCCATCGAAGTCCAAAGCTGCAAAACTGGTATTAAACAAAACTGGTATTAAACAATGCAACAATGTTTGAGGGTTCGATGTGCTCAAGAATGAAAACACACCCTTTCTAGTGCTCTAGCTTCTTCAATGGAGAATTCAGAATGGAGAATTCCTACTTTTGCATCGAGCTTCTATGTCTAGCTTTTTGCATTGGAGAATTCAATGCACGAGAAAGTTTGTGTTTCGATATTTCGAGTAGGAAATGTCCACAAAGTACAGTCTAATGAGCACAAAGCACAGTCCTACTACAAAGTACAAAGTACTGTACTTTAGAGCACAAAGTACAGTCTAATGAACAAGTTCAATTAGACTAATGAGATCAAATGTTTAATCACGAAAAATTCTCTAAAAAGTTCATTGCTCAAAATAAAGAGCCAAACAAAAAATTCGTCAAGACAGGTGTTATTATAGAAAAAGTTCCAAAAAACCTTTTCGTATTACAAAAATAGTAAACTGTAAGATGATGTATTTCAATAAATTGTTCAATAAAATCTCAATAAATTCATTGAAAATCTTTTCCTTTTTTTTCATTGTCCAGTACTGGACAATGAAATATTAGGGTTGGCCGGAAAGTTCAAGAGGAGCTTTCAGGGCTATCAAATGACTAGAATAGTTTAGTTGATCTTTGAATTTTCACCAAGTTATCAGGAAAACCGTTAGCCACTACGAGTCCGCTCAAAATATCGTCGTCGCGAATGAGCTAAGTGTTAGGTTGGCCGGAAAATTCTTTCCGTTTTTTTGACGCTAGATCTAACTTTTGATTTTACACATCAAAAAGGCCAAATAAAAAAACAGAATTTATCTACTTGAAATATTCACCGTCAACATCAATAACATCCTGCCACTTATCCGGCAACAAATCGATTCGGTGGCGGTAAAACTCACGTGGCTTCGAATCGAAAAGCTGAGTGAGTGACAAGCGCATTTCCTCGACGTTTTGAAAGATCGTTTTGAAAGCGCACCATCGGACTATCATCTGTTCAGGTATTTTGTCCAGAATCGTCCGATTATCATTTTTTCAGGTCTCTGGAGCATCATTTGCGTGGAAAAATCTTTCGAAACGTCGAGAAAATGCGCTTGTCACTCACTCAGTTTTTCGATTCGAAGCCACGTGAGTTTTACCTCCGGTGAGTTTTACCGACGCGGAATCGATTTGTTGCCGGATAAGTGGCAGGATGTTATTGATGTTGACGGTGAATATTTCGAGTAGATCTTGATCTTGAAGCTCTAGTGGATCCCTTGAAGTTATCTGTGCTACCCATACAGTACTGGACAATGAAATTTCATATTTGAAAAACGATCGTCACTTTCGCTCACTGTAACTTCCTTGTCTTTGAGTTTAAACTATAAGTGTTCTACATTTTCTGAAAGCTCTTTTTTCAAGGGCTACACAATGGTAATATTAATATTTAGAAATTCGAAATATTTCGAAATCAGCGCGCGCGATAGTTTAAACTCAAAGACAAGGGATTTACAGACGTGCGAACGTGACGATCGACTCAAAGACTCAAAGATCGACTCAAAGATTCGGTGTCTAATATTTACAAAACTGTCTAATATTGCTCAAAGATTCGGTGTCTAATATTTAAAAACTCGAAAATTATTGAACAAAAACAGAAGAGAGAACAGAGAACAGGAAATTCTCGATTATTCTGTAAAAAAAGGCAATTTGCCGACTCGAAATATCGAAATTCGACTTCAGAAAATCTCTTTAACCGTAAAAATATTGAAGAAAAAGAAAAACAACAAGGGGAAATTGTTTCCCCCGGGTCGCTATGGAGATTTGGTGATGTGAAAAGTGAAAGAAACCCTTAAAAATGAAAGGAAATTAGGAAAAAAAAGAAATGATTTGCGTAAATGATGATAATTAAAAAAGAGAAGAAGTTTGAATGTAATGTAATGAAATTATAAAATAGAATGAGACTGATTTATCATTTAGATGGAATGATGATGGAATGATGATGGAATCATGATGGAATCATGATAGAATCATGATAGAATGATGATGGAATCATGATGGAATCATGATAGAATGATGATGGAATCATGATGGAATCATGATGGAATGATGATGGAATCATGATAGAATGATGATGGAATCATGATGGAATCATGCTGGAATCATGCTGGAATGATGATGGAATCATGATAGAATGATGATGGAATCATGATGGAATCATGCTGGAATCATGCTGGAATGATGATGGAATCATGATAGAATGATGATGGAATCATGATGGAATCATGCTGGAATCATGCTGGAATGATGATGGAATCATGATAGAATGATGATGGAATCATGATGGAATCATGCTGGAATCATGCTGGAATGATGATGGAATCATGATAGAATGATGATGGAATCATGATGGAATCATGCTGGAATCATGCTGGAATGATGATGGAATCATGATAGAATGATGATGGAATCATGATGGAATCATGCTGGAATCATGCTGGAATGATGATGGAATCATGATAGAATGATGATGGAATCATGATGGAATCATGCTGGAATCATGCTGGAATGATGATGGAATCATGATAGAATGATGATGGAATCATGATGGAATCATGCTGGAATCATGCTGGAATGATGATGGAATCATGATAGAATGATGATGGAATCATGATGGAATCATGCTGGAATCATGCTGGAATGATGATGGAATCATGATAGAATGATGATGGAATCATGATGGAATCATGCTGGAATCATGCTGGAATGATGATGGAATCATGATAGAATGATGATGGAATCATGATGGAATCATGCTGGAATCATGCTGGAATGATGATGGAATCATGATAGAATGATGATGGAATCATGCTGGAATCATGCTGGAATGATGATGGAATCATGATAGAATGATGATGGAATGATGATGGAATCATGCTGGAATCATGCTGGAATGATGATGGAATGCTGATGGAATGCTGATCTAATGATGATCTAATGACGATCTAATGATGATCTATTGATGCTGGAATGATGAGTTAGATGTAAAGAGTTGTGCATTGTAGTCGTTGTTAAGGGTAAGTTATGAAGTAAAGCTCGAAAAGCTAACAGCAGATTTCCATTTAAACTTTCGTACTTCAAGCTTCGTAGGCATGGGGATACCTGAGGCTAGAGTTGTGTGCTTTTCACCTTTTCAGAAAGAGTCTCTCTTTATAGATGTTCCCCGGGCAACCAAAATGTGCTCCCTTATTGAGATCTTTTCAGTTTTTACCCTTCACCCGTCAAAAGAAGCCCCAATTGTTCGTAGATCTCGAGGGAATATTGAAATTTTGTCGCCAATGTCGTTGAAAATCTCGCCATTTTTAAAAAATGATCTAATTATTTGATTAGAACCTGTTGTTGAAGTGAAAGAAAAGTAAAAAGGATCAAAACTATTCAGAAAATCTTTCAAACTTGATATTAAAGCAATTAGAATGTGTTCCTTTTGATTCAAACACTAAAATGAACCTATCATTTTTTGATGTTGTTAGAAGGCTACATTCCGAAAAACGAAGGAAAATCGCGAAAAGCGGCCGAAAGGCTATTCATCTGAGGGTCGCTGGTTCGACTTCCACCGGTGACAATATTTGTGCAAAATTTTTTTGCTAAGATTCTGAAAATGCGTGTCTAGGGGTTATTTTTGACGCTGATCACGAAACACATGTTTTTAGCCTAGGTTTCTGCACGGAAAACTAACGAAACGTGAAAACAGCCATTTTTGGCTCTGCCGCCCTTTACTAAAATAGCTGTAAAAACTTTTCGAAAAGAGATATCTCAAAACGGTTTTTACCAATTGATCCGTCTTGAATACAGCTTTAAGATGAGCTATAAAACGTCAGAATTCGACAAATTTAAGGTACTCTCCCAAAGGAATCGGAAAGGACTTTTCCATCAACCCAATAGTTTAGAAAGATGCATTTTAGTTAAAGTACGAAATACAAATGACGCAAGAGCGGCACTTCTATTTGCCATGGTGGACACAAATAACTTTCAGTAAAACTGGTTGGCAGTAAAACCTTTTACTTTTACTTAAGACGATGAGCAAAAGGTAAAAAGATTTCCTGCGTTCGTTTAATCAATAGTTTATCTAGCTACGCGAAAAGTTGAATGATCTTCCGCATGTCGCTCTTTCAATTCATTGTTGGGCCTCATTTTTGCATGAAGTATCTAGAACTTTTGCATTATCAGTCCTAGATTTGTTGCATTATCTTGATCTAAAAGAAATGAAGCTCGTGACAAAGGTGTCGTAGTCAAATACGTACTCAAATTGTCAGTTTTTCAATTCACAATAATCACAAAGCTTGATAAATGAACGAAAATTTGGATAATCGAATGAAAACTGGTAATTAGTTATTGTAGGTTTCTTTTATAAGATTATTAAACAAGATATCAAGATCAAGATCAAGATATCAAGATCAAGGTCAAGATATCAAGATCAAGATATCCAATGATCAAGATATCAAGATCTACAAGATATCAAGATCTACAAGATATCAAGATCAAGATATCAAGATCAAGATATCAAGATCTACAAGATATCAAGCTCTACAAGATATCAAGCTCTACAAGATATCAAGATCTACAAGATATCAAGCTCTACATAAAGATATCCCAAACGATTACCAGTTCAATTCCAAGCAAGTATTCGATGTTGTATGGATTCATTTTCTTTGAAATAGGGTTTAAATCTTTACTTACATTTTTAAGGGTGCTTTATCAATTCGGCAGTTCTCTTCAATCTCAATTACAGTAAGTACTCGAATTCTAAAAATCAAAGCCTAAAAAAACGAATGCCACCGACTAACTGGAGATCTCTCGGCCAATTCAGCTGTCATAGAACTGTCGATGGAATGTACCTATCGGCAAGATTAAAGCTTTGAAAGCTGAATCTCTTTTGCTCTCTGAATTCTCAAGTTTCAGATAATTGTTACTTTGAAGTGATTCGTCATTCTCGGATTATCGAAAACC